GATTCATAATTATTGAAATCAATGTTTCAATTTAATTCAATATCATATAACAATTCTCTAATCAATTATAAACTAATGAACATAAATTAAATTACAGTGAGTGAGTATTTAGATTCATGATTATCTCAATTAATGTTTCAATTTAATTCAATATCATCTAACAATTCTCTAATCAATTAATATAAATTATGTTATTTCAGTCAGTGAGTATTTAGATTCATAATTACTGAAATCAAATGTTTCAATTTAATTCAATATCATATAACAATTTTCTAATCAATTATAAACTAATCAATTTAAATTATATTACAGTCGGTAAGTATTTAAATTCATGATTATGTTTCAAATATCATATTACAATTCTCTAATCAATTATAAACAATCAATATAAATTATATTACAGTGAGTGAGTATCTGGATTCATAATTATTGAAATCAATGTTTCAATTTAATTCAATATCATATAACAATTCTCTAATCAATATAAACTAAATTATATTACAGTGAGTGAGTATTCGAATTCACAATTATTGAAATCAATATTTCAATATCATTGTACAATTTTTCTAATCAATTATAAATTAATCAATATGATTATATTACAGTTAGTGAGTATTTTAGATTTATAATTATTGAATTCAATGTTTCAATATCATATCATATAACAATTCTCTGATCAATTGTAAACTAAACTAATCAATATCAATTATATTACAGTTTGTGAGTATTTAGATTCATAATTATTGAAATCATTATTTTAATATCATATAACAATCCTCTAATCATTATAATCTAATCAATATAAATTATATTACAGAATGTAAGTATTTAGATCTATACTATAATTATTGAAATTAATGTTTCGACCACTGATTAAATGAGAAAAATAGGCAAAATTTTTTCGGTACAAATAGGCACAAATAGGCTAAGCTAATTTGCACCAAAAATTTCCAATTTTCGATCATGCAAAATGTGAAAATCATTTAACAATTCTCTAATCAAATATAAATAATATTTTTTAGTCTTCGTGAAAAGTGTAGCGAATGTCAGCAAGATTATACTGGAAGTAATTGGTGCCATCCATGTAATGTTAAAAATTTTCAAAATGAATTTGATAAATGGACAAGTGAAAATAGAGAAATTGATGAATTTATTCAACAAACTCAACTAAATGCAAACAAACGTCAAGATATTATTGAGTGGATTCCATTTGATAGACTTGAGAATGTCACATACCTTTCTAAAGGGGGTTTTGGTACAGTATATAAAGCAAAATGGCTTGATGGACCTATTAGGTCTTGGGATTATAAATTAGAAAATTGGAACAGGTCTAAAGAACGAGATGTTTGCCTTAAAAGTCTTGATAATTCCACAAATAAAAATGAATTTTTGCAAGAGGTAAGTATTTCATGCCATTTAAATTTCATCCCACTGCATTAGTTTAAACATATCATAATTATATTATATTTATGTTAATAAATATTTAGATTAAAAATCAACTTAAATTTCGAGGTAAAAATGCAATTTCTATATATGGTATCACTAAAAATCCTACAAAAAATGAATATATGATGATTATGAATTATGCAGAATATGGTAGTCTTAGAAAACTTTTGAATAATAAGTTTGAAGAATTAACTTGGAAAAAAAAGATTTCTATTTTATTAGATATTGTAGATGGACTTGCAAATATCCATAAAATGGGCTTAATACATAAAGATTTTCATTCTGGTAATATACTTAATCAAACTTTGACTCTAAGTTACATTACTGATTTTGGACTGTGCAGACCAGTTACTGAAAATAATCCAAAAAAAATTTATGGAGTTATTCCATACATGGCACCTGAGACATTGAGTAGAGGGGAATACACTCAAGCATCTGACATTTATTCTTTTGGCATGGTTATATTAGAAGTGCTAACTAGTTATCCACCATATTATAATATTCCACATAATGCAAATCTTGTAATGAAAATTTGCAATGGACTTAAACCTGAAATTAAGTGTGAAATTCCTCAATTTTTCAAAGAAATAATGGAAAAATGCTGGAATTTTGAACCTCGTAGTCGTCCAACTGCTGAAGAATTGAAATCTCAATTTAAGAAATATTTTTATGACAATGATGATGAAATAAGAAAACAAGTTAAAGCAGCAAATAAATTAAACAAGAATTTTATAAAATATGATCCAAATAAAATGCATCCTGAAGCAATATATACAAGTAGACAATTGCCTTTTCTGAAACCAAAGAAATTTGAAGATAATCCACATGGTAAGTAACTGTTTTTTTTTTTTAGCAATATACGAATGATAATTTAATTTATTTACATCAATTGTTATTTTTAGATACAAAACAATGGGATTTAGTAGTTCCCGATGATATAAGTGAGTATTATATTTCTTGAATCATTTGTTTAATACATTTAGCTAAATGAAATTAACAATCTTTAATTTTTGCATAGTTGAAATTCAGGAAAATTGATTGTTAGGAATTTATTATTTTTTTTGTATTTTCTTTAAAATTATTTGTTCATTTATTTTATTATATTTTATATTTTTATTATTTTATTCGATCACTGGAATTATAAAGTGTAGCTTTTATTTAAATAAAAGCAGACCAGTATGTAATCATTTAAAATAAATCATTATCTTGATAATTCAAAAATCTAAATATTTGGAAATATTTATTATAAACTGCGTGTAAAGGTAAACTGGAAATCCATACGAGTTATCTTTTCTTTATCATTCGTAATAGAAAATTATACAAGATAGCAAGCACAATGGAATCAAAATTGTAAAACAAACCTATATTATTCCTGGTATATGCTCTCTTTTTTTTTTACAATCTAGTAAGCAAAATGACTAGGATTTGGGCCTTGGAAATAACATTCGAACCAAATGACAATAATTAGTTAAAAATTCTCGTGTAACCAGACGAAGTAGTTAATTTTCAAAATTATATATTAACCATAGTTCAAACTTTAAATAGGCCTTCTTTAACTTTAAAATTATAAGTTTTTCAAAGTTGTATAATTTTTTACTTTATTTCTATTGAGTTATTAGCTTTAAATATCATACTCTCAAAACTACTTATTATTAAGATCCCTTTTTCAATATCACATATTGAGTTTTCAAACTTTGCAGAAAGATAGAGTTCATAAACCTCTGTAAAATGATTTTTATTAAAAAGAAATAATTTTTTTTGAACTAATTTTTCATCAATTTTGTTAAAATTTCAACTCTCTAAACTATATCGGGGAACTTAAAATCCAATTTAAACGAAAAAAATCATGATCATACAAGCTGATGCTGATACAAATTATGTACTGTATATTATGTATATATCAGTCATAGCGCAAATTTAATCTGAGTATCAACTTGCGATTCTGCTTTTCTAATTGAACCTTAAGATGTTTCTTGAATGAAGATCTCGATGGATAAGATTTGTTATTATGAATTTGTTCAATTCTGTATAATACATAATATGAAGTAATTTAAAGTTAATATTTACATTTACTTAATTAAACTCAATAAATCAAACACATATCTGCTGCAATACAATATAATCTTTCTAACTTAATCTTCCAATTAATTTTATCAAAGTTTAACATTTAATTCCCTATACAAACTTCCGTCTTCTGCAAATTCTATTACCATCATATTATTATCACTATTAGGATCTTTGATTATTCCATAGCATTGTATGATAAAATCATTAGAATTTGTTATTCCATGAGATATTACCTATTTAATTGTGAAATAAAATTTATTAAGTATTTATTTGTATTTAAAAAAAATAATAAATTAATTAAAACTTAAATAAAAATACTTCTTTCAAAAAAGCATCTGTCAAATCGTTAGAATTATGTATGTAAATTTTTAAGTGCCACCTTGATTTCGTTTTCTTCATCTTTAATCTGTTTACTATACTAAAACCATCTTCTGCTATATATTTTATTAATTCACTCGACTCTGTTATTATGAATTTCCCTGTGATTTGTTTTTATTTCACGTGATTAACACAAATTGTAATTGGCTAAATATAACTAATATAATTTAATCAACTCAAAAAAAGAGGTAAAAAAAATTTTGGACCATGTGTGGTGGAAAATTGCACTCAGAACAATGTTCCTTTTCGCCAAATTACAGAACTTACGTATAAAAAATGTCAAGAAGCTAATATGTTATCTATTTATCCTTATATTGAAATAGAAAAATAATTTTGTCATTTACATTATTGTAAAATAGTTGAGTTTAACCATAATCAAAATAAAAATACTAAAAGAAAAAATAAAGAAAATCAGAAAAGAAACCACAAAAAAAGAATTGTTGATGATTCAAACACTCAGGAAATTTGAAATTATTGAAGATAATGGTAATATAATTAATTAATATAAAAGTATTATAAAATTTTTTCGTGAAAAATAATTTATTTTTATTTAATCAGTTTTAAGTAACAACTCAACTTTTGCATCAAAAATGAAAACATTGGCGAGTGTACTATATAATAAGCAACGTCGAGAAGATGTCACTTTAAAGTTGGATCCTGAAAATTTTGAAAAATGATAGAAAATGCAAATCCAGAATTTCAAGGATTTTTTCATCAATGGTTAATGTAATTATTCCCAAGGAACGATCAGCTTATAACAAAAAAGAAGCCAAGAAATCGTTGTAGCTTTGTGCTACATTATTGCTGGATTACGAAACAAGTTTGTAAATTGTATTTAGCAATATCGGGTGCTACATATGAGGCAAAGACACTATTTCGAGTCTTGATTATTCAATATGTGCAAAGTCAGTTACAAATTATCAAAGAAAAATTTATGAAAACCATAAAATACAAATTGAGTCTTATTTTTCCAATAACGTATGTAAATTTTAATATTAATTTTTTATTTTATTTTATGAAAATTAAATTTTTAAATTTTATTTTTTAGAAAACCATTTTACATATATATAATATTGATGACTTTCATGATATTCATGAAAAGGGAAGGCCTGATACAACAACTACATCAACAGCAAATCATTTTTCTACATGTGTTGTTAAATATGTAAAATGTTTAAAAATACCACTTGTATTTAATGGAATATCTGTACATAATCCAAATAATATTGAGGCATGGAGAATTTGTTGATACTTGATTAATCATTATAAGGGAACATTTGATATTACATATATGGAACGTCAGTTATATTGGACATCACAAGGGCACCAGAATAATCAAAATTTTGATCAGATCGAACTTTTAACTGTTCATTGTTATAATGAAATTATTGAAAAACGGAAGAAGAAAAATCAATAGATGGACTTAAATTAATTAGTTTTCAAGAGCAACATTTGCATTCAATAAAAGATTATTTGAAAGCATTGGAATCTATATTAATTATAAATAGCAAAACAAATCATCTGCAAAATCATGTTGCACCAATTGTTGCAGATTGGCCAGTACAATTGTTTATACGAAAAGCATTAGCATTAAGATCACAACCTAACATTCCTCAAGAAATGGAATTTTTTTACCAATAATGGGACCTCTTTATCTTTCACTTAATAGTCGAGAACATGTAATATTGATTTATTATAATTTTTTTGAATGAATGTTTCACTCAGTATTTGAAAAAAAATAAAAAATTGGCAAAAAAACCCCAAACCCTGGCATATAATCTTTTATTGGAACTTGTACGAAGTGGTTGGATAAAAATTAAAAATAAAATTATAGAAAAATTTAATTTAAGTAAAGATATAGAATATAGAAAAACAATAAATTTGTTAGATAATTTAATTCCAGCAATGTTAGATATATGTGCTATATTATTTAGATCAGGATCATTTGATGAATATATTGAAATAGTATTCCAGATATGGACTTTTACATTATGATGGAAAAGGAAAAATTATAATAAGGCACCTCTTATTTTTTTTATCAGATTTTTTTTATTGAAAGATAATGGTCATCCATTTGCAGATATTATTAAAAATTATTTACCAAATTTTAATGATTATTACGTAGAGAATGTACATAGCAAAATTCGAGCCAATATTTCATCAAATGCAACTGTAGATAATACTATAAAGCATGCATATATAATAGGTATACTTTTATTTTGCATACAAAGTAATAATATATAATAATAAATTAAATGATTAAATAAATTAATTTTTTAAGAATAATAGTAAATCAGGATCCTTTGTTTAAAGATACTTATAGCAAAACTTGACATTATCCATATACTCCAACCACTCTTGATTTTTTATCTGAAAAAACAAGTTTATTTTTGCTAAATTATTTTGAAAATATTTTTAAAAATCAAGGAAAAAGCACTTCAATCTATATCGGAAAGAGAAAAAAAATTAGTGCATATTACCTCAGTACGTTAGAATTTGAAGCCGACTTAAGATACCTTCCCACAGCATACCATATGGCAAAAATTCCAAAATTGGGACTATGTGATGCTTGCGAACTTCCATTGGATAATAACAATAGAGCAGTATTTGTTGTGGTCATGGATATCATCTAATTTGTTATTCTGGAAGATGTACATATTGTGAAAATTTTTACAAAAATGGTATTTTCGAAAATGTTGATTCTTTTTTGAAAAGAATTGAAAAAGGAGCAGATATACTTACACAGGAGGATTTTGATAATATTAATGAAAATGATAATGTAGAGATGAAGAATCAGAAGAAGTGAGAGGGAACAAGATACATCTTCATTACTGGTAGCTGCAATTAACAATATTAATAACTGGTAAAAAATATAAATGTAATAAAAAAATGAATAAAAATAGATTGTTTTAATATACTCTTTAAGAAGCTATGTCTCTAAGGTAACCTACTTAAATCGACAGATGCTCACAGATGCTCATGCAAATTTCATTAGAAAACTGGTAGAAATATCATCTAATAACTTTATTATAGTATCGATAATTGTGGTATTCAAGTGACACGTATAGATATATATATTTTCTATATAAGAATTTTATGTAACATAATGGTAAAAAGTGAATTTCTGTCATGCTGTTATTATGCCATTCACTATTCTGGATTCAGTCTGTTGCTTTCGTGTCTTAGTATCAGTTATTGTTTGGATTTTGCTTTTTTTTTTGTTTTTATTATTAGATTTAATACTGAAATATCATCAAGATTCGTTTCAATATTTTATTAAAATCCATTAATGCACCATTATGTCTTTCTAACTTTTGATATGTTTGTCCTCGTAGTCTTAATGAAAAAGCATTATTTGGCTCTATTTTTAATGATTTATTAAAATATATGACTGCTTCATCATATTTTCCTAACTTTTCATAAATTTCTCCTCATATCCTTAATGCAAGAGCATTATTTGGTTCCATTTCTGTCTGATAAATTATTAAAACCTTTTAATGAAATCTCATGCAATTCTAACTTTAGAAAGGTTTCCCCTCGTGATCCTAATGCAAGAGCATTATTTAGTTTTAATAGGAACATTTTACTTCGCCAATAATATTTTTGCTTGAACATTGAATTTTTAACATTTACAAAAAAAAAAATTATCAAAAAATTAATAATATAAAAATAAATATTTTACTTTTAATAATCGCATTGATCGGCTCAAACTGATTGCCGAGAATGACTGTGTTTTTTTTTCAATTAGTCATGCGGACTAGCAATTTACATACTTACTTCTTAGTGTCTTTTAATAAGGAAAGACTTTTTCAAGTTCTACACTTTCCATGTCATAGCGATTCTTTGATTTGTAATAAATTACTTATATAATATAGAATATGACATACCTTGGCGTAAAGAATAAGATTAAAGTTCTAAATCTCAGATGGATTGTTTTTCCTTATACAGCAAGCTTAAATCAAAAAAGGTTTACTTTAATAAATTAAATAACTTTGAAAACACACAAATTATATAGCAAAAAAAATCTTTCGTTACGATTGATTTCAATTAAAAATATAATTCTATTTCGAAGAAAAGACTGTTTATATTTCTTAATTCGTGATCCGGTTAAAATTATGATAAAAAAAATGGGCAAAATTCACCGATCAACGAATTAACGGATATATAAAAGTCCATTATCTAATTATGGGTCACTTTACATTTTTTTTTTTAATTTGTAAATGAGTGTTTAGACTATCGTTCTAGTATTTTTTTTGGCTTTTTTAATAAATTTCAAAGATAAAGACGTACAGTAAGGTAGATTCCAATTTACAGTTAAATTTGTCCGGTTGTTACGTGGATCACGAATTAAATTATAAATATTCGCAAACTATTTATTAGTATCAATAAAAACAACAGTTGAAGCTAGTAATTTTATTTTTAATACTTAATCTAATTTTTTTTGTAAGAGACTAATTGTCCGGAGTGTAACGTAGGACATTATACTTCTACGCATAGAGATTATTTGAATGAAAACGATTCATCAGATACCATTTGAAATCTCTTTCTCATCTTTACCAATACTATTATCATAACAATTCTACAATTAAACGCATTGCTTCAAAAGCAGGATTTATATTCTATTGTTGTTCCCACTCAAACAAAATAACATGAACTAACGTGAGATTGTGCTACTAGATATCCTTCGGCAATTTTAAAGATAATTTAAACGTTTTTTCATCATTTTCAACACCAACACGCATAATATGTTATGGTATTCAAATCCATAAGAGACCTTTTATTAGGAAGTTCTAAACACATATTTGTAAGAGAGATAGCTACAATTTTGTTGATAATAATGAATTGGGAATTATTCTTCACTTCAAGCTAAACTAAAAAATTCATACCATTTTGTATAACTACCCTATTATGCTAGTAAACCATGAATAAGTCGGATTTTTTCATCATTTCATATTAATGTAGCTTTTGATTATAATTTATTGCATTTCTTTGAATTACTTTTTTAATATATCAATAAAAAATTCAAATAAGTCATTAACTTCTGTTGAGTTATCGACCATGTTTAATTTCAGATTTTCATTTTGCCTTGAATAATAATTTTCTAATTTAATAATTGTTTTTGATTGAAAATATATAATTTACATTTTAATTTTCTAAATTAAATTCAGAGTCAGAAAGATTTTAATAAATAAAAATCTGGACGAAAAATAAAGATGTATCGTTAATGCACGTTAATCAAGATTAGAAACAAGATCAAACAAAATATAATAATGTATTATTTATTTTTTTTAGATGAATTATCTCTAAATAATGGTAAAATATATATAATTTTTTTTCACGATCACATGAAAAATTAATTTTGAAATATGTCGCTTTCAAAAAATTTTAAGTTGACTTGACGGAATAAATAAAAAGTTAATAATTAGAAGTTACTTATAAAAGCTGAATAAGCACTGAATAGTAGCAATTAATTTATTTATTTGATAAATAACGTTTCATAATTATAATAAATTTATTAAAATGGATAAAATAATTTAACATCAAAAAAAAAGAAAAAACTATATAAAAAATAATCAAAGCAAGAATGTTTAAAACTAATTCAAATCTTAAATCTCAAAATTCTCTTGCACTGATTTATAATCCTCAACTAAAAAATATATATATTAAATGTTATAAGTACGTGTTAATAACTTAGAATGCTGATTTTAAAAATTCAAAATAAAAAAAAATTTATACATTACCTTCTGTAACTCGTTCTTTGCAACCTAAAAATTTCAAAAATTAATTATTAGACATCGAAATTATTTTAATTTATAATAAATTGAATTGAAAACTTACCAATCAACATTAACTTAAATTGTTCAATTATAGAATTTAAAGGTCTGCTTCTATAAATGGCTTCTGGATGATAATTTCTATAATTATTTCCTTCCCATCCACCTAAAAGCTTTTTTCTTAAGTTTTCGGCTTGAATAAATTAATCTCGATTTTCTTCTTCCCAACACCATTTATAAATTTTCTCTTTAATTTCTTTTATATTTGGTCTATTTACTGGATTTGAATTCCAGCATCTTTTCATGAAAATACTAAATACCTCTGGTGTATCGTCAGTAATTTCTGGTCTTAATCCACCTCTGATATTGCATGAGAGATTAGAATTATGAGAAGTATCTCTAAATGGTTTATGACCTGATGTAAATTCCCACATTAGCATTCCAAAACTATATATATCTGAAGCTTGACTATACGATGAACCTTCAAATATTTCGGGAGCAACATAAGGCATTATTCCATATACATAATTAGTTGAATGATCAATATTTCTACATAATCCTAAATCAGCTATTCTAAATGAACCGAGAATTCCTTCAACTCCCATTAAAATGTTTCCTGAATGAAGATCTCGATGGATTAGATTGTTATTATGAATTTGTTCAATCCTGTATAATATGTAGTAATTTAAAGTTAGTATTTACATTTGCTTAGTTAAACTTAGTAAAACAAATATATACCCTGCTGCAATACAATATAATCTTTCTAACTTAATGTTAAACTTTGATAAAATTGATTGGAAAACTAAGTCCCTATACAAATTTCCATCTTCAGCAAATTCCATCACCATAATATTATTGTTAGTATTAGGATCTCTGGTTATTCCATAGCATTTTAAAATAAAATCATTAGAATTTGTTATTCCATGAGATATTACCTATTTAATTGTAAAAAAAAAAATTATTAATAAATATTTATTTATATTTAAAAAATAATAAAATCAATTATAAATAGACATACTTCTTTCAAAAAATTATCTGTCATATCTTTAGAATTATGTAGATTTTTAAGTGCCACTTTGATTTTATTTTCTGCATCTTTGATCCAAATAGCACTGTTTACTACACCAAAACCACCTTCTGCTATATATTTTATATTTATAAATTGAGAATACGGAATCCAATTTATTAATTCACTTGACTCTGTTATCATGCCATTCACTATTATAGATTCAGTTTGTTGCTTTTGTGTCTTGGCATCAGTAATTGTTTGGATTTTGCTTTTTTCTGTTTCTATTATTAGATTTAATACTGAAATATCATCAGGATTTGTTTTCAATATTTTATTAAAATCTGTTAATGCCTCATTATGTCTTTCTAACTTTTGATATGTTTGTCCTCGTAATCTTAATACATGAGCATTATTTGGGTCTATTTTTAATAATTTATTAAAATCTGTTAATGCTTCATTATACCATTCTAACTTTTGATAAGTTTCTCCTCGTAATCTTAATATATGAGCATTATTGGGTTCTGTTTCTAATAATTCGTTAAAATCTGTTAATGCTTCATGATACAATTTTAACTTTAGATAAGTTTCTCCTCGTAATCTTAAAACATGAGCATTATTTGGGTCTAATTTTAAGAAATTATTAAAATCAGTTAATGCTTCATTATACCATTCTAACTTTTGATAAGTTTCTCCTCGTAATCTTAATATATGAGCATTATTTGGGTCTATTTTTAATAATTCGTTAAAATCTGTTAATACTTCATTATACCGTGCTAGCTTTAGATAAGTTTCTCTTCGTAATCTTAATCCAATATAATTATTAAGATCCTTTAATCCTTTATTATAATTCGATCCAAACATTGCTTCAAGAGCATCCGTTTTTAATACTTTATTAAAATCTATTAATGCCTAATTATACTTTTCTAACTTTTGAAAATTTATCCTGTAACCTTAATGTAGGAATAATAATATGTATGCTTCGGATTAAAGCACAAACTGACTGCCGAGCCGAAAAAAGAAATTGATTTTCACATTGACAAATTGGTTCATTTCAATGAAAAACTTATGTACAAAGTGTTTTGTTTATTCTAGTTCAATTAGGCATGCGGACAACCTTGGCGTAAAGAATAAGATTAAAAGTTCAGAAATTTAGAATAGATTGTTTTTCCTTTATAATTTAAGCTTACGCTGTGTAACTTTGAAAACGCACAAATCATAAAGCAAAAATTTTATCTCAATTAAAAATAATACAATACTTGTCATTTTCAGAAAAAGAGCCCATTTTACTAAGAAGGAAAGACTGTTTTATATTTTAAATTATAAATATTCGCAAATTATTTATTAGTGTTAATAAAAACAACGATTCAGGCTAGTTATTAATTTAATTTTTTTACAAAAGATTAATTTATACTAATTTATTAAATTACATTAACATTATTTACTTATTTAATTAATACTATGATCTAAAATTATTTTTACCTTAAAAAAACCAATTACGACGAATATTTAAAAATAAATTGCACATTGATCACAAAAAGAATTCAATGTATTCGAAAAATACATTTAGCCAGTTTTATTAATAAAAAAAATGTTATAATGTAAAAGAAAGATATTAAAATTTGATTATTAGTTTTAGTAATTCATTGGCAGATGTTATCCCATTTTCCTTGGCTTTATTTAACCAGTATACAGCATCCAAAATATTTTTCTTAGTTCCACATCCTTCATAAAAACATTTTCCAAGTCGATATTGGCTATCAGCGTTATCACTTTCCGCAGCTTTTTTATACCATTCAAATGCTTTCATTTCATCCTTATTAATCCCATAACCATTTTTATAACAATCTCCTAATTGATATTGTGCTGCAGGAAATCCTTTTTCCGCAGCCTTCAGATACCATTTAAATGCCTCTCTTTTGTCTTTACTGACACCTATACCATTGTCATAATGACGGCCAATATTATACATTGCATTAATATTTCCAGCACGAGCAGATTTTATACGATATTGAAATCCTTTAATTTTATCGATCGCTATTCCTATTCCATTTTCATAACAAAAACCAACATTAGATTGTGCCACAAGATTTCCTTCTTCTGCGGATCTCAAATATAATTCAATTTCTTTTTCCTCATTTTTTTCAACCCCAAATCCCATCCCATAACAATATGCCATACAATTTAAAGCTATATGAGACCATTCATCTGCAACTTTGGAATAAATCTGAAATCCTTTTTTTAAATCTTTCTCAATGCCTATACCATCTGAGTACATATGTGCAAGGTAAATACTTCCCAATTCATTATTAATGTTGTAAAATTTTCTTGTTGAGGAGTTGTTATTCTTCGTATCAATTATTATTTCATTGGCAGCTATATTAAAGAGTTTAAAAGCCATTTGATTATCAGCAACAGTCCCAATGCCATGCTGGTAAAAAAATCCTATGAGGCTAGTGAACCAATTATGAGATGAAAATCTAATCATTTCATATAGAATTTCGGCTGGATTCTTTTTATGTTCTTTAATATAATCTTTGATCATAACTGGATGCATTTCTAAGTTCTGTCTTTCTGGAATCTCAATAAAAAATTCAAATAAATCCTTAATAAATGTAATAGCTTCAGTAGACGCATCAACGAAAGGAGGATCGGGTTTAACTTCTAAATTTTCATTTTGCCTCAGTAAAAGAAGAATTTTATAAAAAATTTTAATAAATAAATATTTAAAAATAGATAATATAAAAAATAAAAAATAAAAAATAAAAGTGCAACTTACTGGTTTGAATTTTCTAATTGATCAGCAATGACTGTTGTGTCATTATGTGGTTGTGATTGAATTTCAAATTCAACGTTTGCATCGGAGAGGATTATTTCAGAAAGATTTTTGACAACTTGAGAAATATCTGGTCGCGAATTTCCATCGTGCTTCCAACAATCTGTAAAAAAAAAAAATATATATATATTGCATTAATAATTTATTATGTAAATAAACAATATAAATTATTTAAATTTATACCAGTGTATATTTCCTTGTATTTTTGAGGTGTTCCAGGTATAGCCATTTCCCTTTTTCCTTTTGCGATGTTGTTTAACAAATTAACATTTGACGAGGATTCCATTTCAAAAGGAGGATTACCGCTAGAAATTTCCCAAAGAATAATTCCTAGTCTAAAAATATCAGAACTCTTTTTGCCAGTTATATTGAAGAGTTCCAAATATTGAGGATCCATGTATTGTATTGGACCAAGAGTATTCGTAAGGAAACTTAAAGAATCGGAAATAATTTTAGTCATTCCAAAAATATTTAATTTAATGTTCCCATTATGAATAAGAATATTTTCAGAATTCTAATAAATAATTATTATAATAATAATAATAATAATAATTAAAATTAAAATTAAAAAGAAAGAATTCATTTGTTAAAATTTCTTTTTAAGAGAAACAATTACCAATCTTCCATAAATGATATCATTGGAATGTAAATGCATCAAAAGATTTGCAATTTGTTTCGAAAGATTTAACTTTGTATTCCAATCCAATTTTTGGAAATTTGTTTTCAAATATTGACGAAGAGAACCATTATTCGCATGTTCGAAGATAATCATATAATTATTAGTATTTCCTATAAAAATAAAATTAATAAATGTGTAATTAATGAATTGTTTATTCTTATTAAATATAGTAATTTAAATATTATATATATTTATATTTACCTTGCTTAGTAATGCCATATAACTTGAGAATGCCATCATGAGTTTTCAATTTTCGATGCCTTTTGATCTTTTTCAATTAATTTTTAAAAATATAAAAAATAATTAACGGTAAATTCAAATTCTAATAATAAAATAAATAAAATAAATAATTTAATTTAATTTAATATACTTCATTAATTAAATCATCCAATGTAAATTTATCATCATTCAAAGAAACACATTTAAGTGCAACAATTTTTTGATAAGTTCTAAAAATGGCTTCATAAACTTTTCCACCAATCAATTTTACATTCTCAAATTCTGAGTATTGATAAAATGTGACATCTTCTTTTTGCAAAATATCTTCAATAATTAAATTATCCATCCAGGTTTCCCATTCTTTCTCGTTTATCTTTTCTTGGAACATGATTGATTAATTATAATAATTAATTATGAGTACGTAAATGAAAATACGCCGATTTATAGATGTACTATGCCACATATAAAAAAAGAAGTGGTCGAATTTATTAAGTTATAAAGATTGCTTATGTACAATTCATCAAATAATTTCAATAATCTATGATTCTCAAACGTTAAGAGAAAGCAAGTTAAATTTGAATTTTCTGTTATTTTTAATTTTTTTTTTTTAATTGAAAGGGAGCATTCTTAAAATCCTCTAGCATTACTAAGCAGATAAAAGAAAAAATTTTAAAAAAGTTTTCATTAATCAATTCTATATTCTCAAATTCAAAATATCGTCAAAAATGGATATTCTCTCGAAAAAAAAAATCGAATGATTATCTCGTTACACAAACGTAGCTTCTTAATAAAGTTAATAAAGTTAATAAAATAAACTTTTGACATTGTTCTTTGTTAAGTAAAAAAATAAGCAAATAGCAAGAAAAAATAAACCAAAATAACATTATTGGACATTAGGAACAAGAAATAAAATGAGTTTTCGGTGACAGTTATATATTATTTTTATATTATTTAAAATGTTGGGATTTTCAAAAAAATAAACAAATTATGATTGGCATAACAACATCACCTGATCTATTACTATGTTACCACGATCTGCTGTTAAAAACAATCAATGCACATTTATTTATAATGAAAAAAAAAAAATTCACATTGATATAGAAATTCATTAATTTTGTCATTGTGTAAACAAACACGATTGCATAAAACTTTCTATCGGAGAGCTATCCAAAAAAATGGAAATAAACGCTGTCTTTTTTGTACAATTTTATAATAGCAAATAGTTATATGGGTTCTACGTTTCAACCCCTTCCCCCGCCAATTTCTAATTTTCTTTGTTTTTGATTCTTTTCTAAAAACCACATGCTTTCTTTTTGTCATTATGCATAGATTATCATTTTTTCATGCTTAATGCTATTTTAAGAATTTGTACAGGACAGGAAATTTATAAAGGTCCAAAAAAATACGATAAATTTTTAATAATTAAAAAATTAACATCATCATCATTTTAACATTTTGCAGCAGAATTTTTTTATAATACCATTTTAAAAAAAAAAAATTTAATTGATTTATTCTCAATGGAATGGCCAGAAAATGCGTCAAAATTTAATTTGGATGAAATTTACGATAAATTGAAAGGATGCGTTTATGGAGCTGCAATAGGGGATGCGATAGGTTTGGCTACAGAATTCATGTCCAAAGAAAAAGCCAGAAAATTATATGGAATTGGTCCTATAACTTTTGGAACCGAAAAAGGATATGAATTTTATATTGATAGACAACGAGAAAGATGGAATGATGGGGATTGGACCGATGATACTGGTAAAAAATAATAATAATAATAAAATCGATAAAAATAATTAATTCAATTTTTTTTTTTCATTATTTAAAGATTAAAAAGATTAATCAAAAAAATTTAATTTAACTTTTCTAATAAAAAAATATAATGAAACTAGATCAATTGCTTCTTATAATGGATACTTTAATAGCAAATGATGGAATTTTTAATTCTCGCGACTTCGCTATGGGATTAAAAAAATGGGTAGATCAAGGATTTCCAGAACTTGATAATAAGCCGTAATATATTTTTATTTTTTTTTTTTTTTTTTTTTCATTTCATCAAGGTCATAAATAAGGAAACTTGAGTAAAATAATAAAAAATAATTTATTCTTTAACGTTTACATATATATATATTTCTTATAATCTAGTCCATGTGGTATTGGATTAACAGTTGGTTCAGTACTTAATCATCCACAATTTCTAAAAAAACCTCATAAATCAGCTTGGGATATTTGGATACAATATGATCGTAATATGGCAGCCAATGGAGCTTTAATGCGTACATCTATATTAGGTGTCCCATTTTTTTGGGATGAAAAACAAGTTATAAAACAAACCTTACAAGCAACCAAAGTAACTCACGCAGATCCGAGATGTGGTTTATCTAGTATAATCCTTACATCGTTAATATCTAGATTGATTAAAGGTAATGTTCAAGATATTCCAACGGATTTAACTGAAGAAGATAAAAAAGAAATCTTGAATTGGTTACAATCTGGGAATCTTAATAATGAAAATAATCAAGATATTGATAAAGATAATAATAATATTTCCGTTAAAAGTACATCATCACAACCACCACCACCATCATCATCATCACAATCAGAAAAACCAAAAAAGAAAAATTTCATTAGTAATAAAATGAGTAAAATGATTGAAAAAGTTAAACATCTTAATCATTCTTCTTCGAAATCACCATCAATAAATGAATTATGGTTAAAAAGAAGAAAAAGATCTTCTCAACTGAATAAACCTCGAGAACCTGCAATAATTCCTGATCCTCTTCCACCTGGAATAGAATTATTTGGTGTGGATCCAGTAATGTTGGCATTAATTAAATCTTTAGTTGATAGATATAAATTTATAATTTTAAATATTCCCGATACTTCACAAGAAAAACCTTCTTCAAAAAAAAATAAGAAAATTGATTCAAGTAGATTACAAACGGATTTAAGTGAAGAAGCTTTAAAGAAATATTGTTTTCCTGAAAGTTTGGCTTCGTTAGAATTAGATGAACCCTCAAGTATTGGATATGTTTATAAATGTTTGGGTTCGGCATTATATTGTGTCACGAGAAATTTGAATAAAGTAGAAAATGAAAGTGTAGCATTTAAAAAGATTATTACGGAGTTAGCATTGGAAGCTGGGTGAGTTTTTTTTTTATTTATTTTTATTTATTTATTTATTATTTTTATTTATTTATTTATTTATTATTATTATTATTATTATTATCAAACTGTACGATATAAAAATTATAAAATTTTATTTTTACTATTGAAAATATTAATCCTAAAAAAATGAACTAAATTTATTAGTGACGCGGATACAAATGCTACCGTCGCCGGTGCATTGCTAGGTACAAGAATTGGATATAATAAATTACCCAAAGAATGGGTTGAAGGATTAAAATATAAAACGTTTTTGGATGAAAAAATTAATAACCTTTGGAAAATAATGTCTAATTCTGATTGGGTGGACGTAAAAGAACCTATTATTGATTAGATAAAATATATATTTTTAAAAATTTATTTAATTTATTTTTATTAATTTATTTTAATTTATTTTTAATTAATTTTTTTTTATTTTATTTACTTTTTTTGTTTGCGCATTTTTGTGTGTTATATAGAGAATTGACAATATTTTTGATCCTTTAAATTAATTAATTATTATTAAAAAAGCACCAAAATTTAATTCTATTATTATTATTATTAAAAATTTCATAAATAAAATAAATTTAAAATAAAATAATTTAACAGTCAGTTATTATCATAATTTTTAATTTTTTAATTTTTAATTTTTTAATTTTTTAATTTTTAATTTTAAGTATTTTAATCATATAGATGATCTAATAATTTCATTCGGATGGCTTCTTTATATTCTTTCGAAAATTCATCATCAGGAATTGTTTCAACTACTTTATTAAAATCATCTAACGCCTGCTTATAACGTTTTAACATGAAATATGTGGCTCCACGAGTTTTTAAGGCAAATAAATTATTGGGTTCAATTTGTAACGATCGATTCAAATCTTCAAGTGATTCGGTAAAAAGTCCCATCATGTGATAAACATCTCCTCGAGATCTTAAAGCGAAAGCACATTTCGAATTTAATTCTAAACATTTATTTAAATCATTAAGTGATTCATCAAAATTATCCAAAATTCGATGAATTTTTCCTCGAATTTTATAAGCATCTTCATTTCTAGGATCCACCTTTAAAACCGAATCCAAATCATTTAAACATAAATCATAATCGTTTAACATCCAGAAAGTATTTCCTCGAGCAATTAATCCTTGAACATTATATGGATCAATTTCTAAGGCATGATTTAAATCATCAAGTGAAGCATGAAATTTTTTAAGTACGTAATAAATTTTACCACGATAAATTAATGCGTCGGCGTGATTTTGTTCTATATCTAATACCACCTCAAGGTTGGCAAGTGCTTTTTCATAATTACATGAATTAAAATGTGTTTTTCCACGGGATAATAAAGCTTCCGTATTTATTGATTCTGACTATTTAAAAAAAAAAAAAAACAATTTTGGAGAAATTTAGTATTAAGTAAGTGAATAATGAATAATTGCAAATTTTAATTCACGCGTGATAATCGTGATAATTTTATAATATACCTCACTACTAAATTCGGAATCCGTTTGATAGGTATTGCGACCCATTTTTCGTAGAAAAATAAAAAAAAATGTAAACTTATATTTTTCCAGAGTGAATAATTTTTTAACGATTAATATAAATAAATGAAAAAATAAAGGGGAAAGAGATTCTAAAAAGTCTAAAGATAATAACTTGTGTAATATTTATTAAATCTTGATTTTCTTTAAAAACCAATAATAACAATTTTTTTTTATAAAATGTATGCAATCAGTAGATAAAAAAATTTAAGGTTCTTCATTGGCAAATTTTAAAAAAACTTTCTCTCCGAAAATGTAAATAATTTGTATAGAAGCCACAACTTGGTTAATTGCTTTTGAGAACAAGATATTTATAAACTAAAATGATTTATTAGCGTTTTTTTTTACAAGTTTTATAACAGGGCAAAATCAGATTTATGTTAATTTTTATTTCCAATTAATTAATTGATTATAAAAATTTTTTAAAAAAATATACTTTCACGGTGGCTCTGTTTGATTTCACTATACTATAAAAAATTTTAGTGAAAGTCGCTAACTGCAAAAAAAAAAAAAAAAAAATCACTGGGTAGTTGGTTAGACTAAGTCTCTTTTATTATCAAAAATTTTTTGGTAGAGATTTCCAGAAATGGATACAATCCCGATCAAAAATAATATAATTTTTTATTCGACCAATTAGGTGATTTGGATAAACACGCTTTCGGTCTTTTTGAAGGGAACCACCTCCAGGTTGATTTAAGTTATTTATTTATTTTATTTATTTATAATTTTATTACATTAACGTTAATCCTTTATTTATTATGAAATATGAAATAACAATAAGTTGTATTTGTTGATGTCTTTCAGGTGAATGAAGCAATTCAATAAAACCCGAATTACTGTATATTATATTAAAAAATATATATATTTAGATGATTTAATTAATTTTATTTTGTTTATTTATTTATTTTATTTATTTTATTTATTTTATTTATTTATTTAATTTAATCCATAAATTTTTTTGTTGCAATTATAGCATTCGTAATAATCAACATCATAATCTGAATCATATATTCATAATATATAAAGCCTGCACGGATATTAAATCTAAATCAAAAAATTATCTATATAATAATTTTTATCAAATTCATTTTTATTTTATGTAAATGGTTTATGTTATTTATTTTAGTTCGAAGCAATAAATTATTTGATCCATTATATTATAAAATTTTCCGGAGGATAGGGATATTTCTCATATACTTTATTTCTACTTTATATTTTAGTTTTAAATTTATAATAAAAAAAAAATTGAGTGGGTGGCTACATGTTTGTGACTTTCAATGATCTTTCGGGGGTGCCGTTGCTTCTCTAATCTAATTTTATTGTTTATTTCTCGAATAACTTTTTCTTTTTTCTTTGTATACAATTATAATTTAATTTATTTAATTTATTTAATTTATTTATTTAATTTTATTTTATTTATTTATTTATCTATATAATTTTTTTAAATTCATTTAATCAATTGTTGTTTTTAACAGTACCTATACTTCCTTTGGAGTTAATCTATGCTTCTTTTCATCATTAATAAAAATCAATCAATTTAACTTCAATAATGTTGGAATTAATCTAAATTGAAATATCTATCTAATATTGATTTTATTTTATTTTATTTTTAAATTTACTTAAAAATATGATTTTTTTAAAAATTTAAAAATTTATTATTTTAAATCTTCTAAAAAAGAATCTGTTCTGTATATGTAAAAGGTGTCATTGTGTTCTTTGGTTTATTTTATTCTTTGATTTATTATCCTTTTTCTGACATTTCAAAAAAAAAAAAAAATAAACTTTTCTCATATAATTAGTAACATTATCGTCGTCATTATATTTTTTCTTCTACATTATATATATTTTATTTATTTATTAATTTTATTTTTATTTTGTATTTTTGTATTTTGTTTTATTTGTAAAAAAAAAAAAATTAATCTAAAATAAAATTAATAATAAAAAATAAAATCAATCAAAAGATCATTAGAAACGAAGCACTTATATATCTAAATGAAAGATGCCAAAAGTTCACTCCGCCGAAGAATCAAATATTCAATCCGATCAACAATCATAATTACATCAAATCTAAAATAATGGAAGCGAAAGACAATAACAACAACATTAGCAAATAAAAGAAATTTCACTCATCGTGTAGTAGTCATCATCGTATTGAAAATCCTTCACGAATATTCGTTATTAATTCGAAAATATGGAAAATTTGAAACCTTTTTATATTTTATTTTAGATATTTTATTTTATTTTTTATATTATTTATTTTATTTTATATTTTATTTTGTTTTCTTTTATTTCTTATCATTAGTATATTTTTATTTATTTATTAATTCTTAAATTACAAATTACAATTGAAAAATAGTCGTTCGTTACGAAAATTGCACACAAAAAAATTTAATTCGCCTTTTACATTTCCCCCCCCCCGAAAATTTTACCATCTTAAACTTTTGATTCATTGAATATTTCGTTCTCCTATTTGATAAATTTCCACCTCTCATCTTATACCTTTTCCAATTTCTCAATCTTATTTTTGTTTATTTAGTTATGACAAAAATTAATGAAGAGTTAAAAGATTTAATGGAAGAAAGTGAAGATGAAAGTGAAAGTGGGAGAGATGAAAACACTTGCGCTTCCTATAAACACAATAATGGCGCCACCGTCATGTGATTAATATTTATACATATGATTGGTTTTGGTTGTATAATTTATTAAACAGTTAATGTTCAGAATTTGTAATTATCACAAAAATAAAATTATATCATTATTATACATATACTAATCAAGCTTTAAACTTTGATTACTAATGTTAATGTTAAAATAAGCTTATTATCTTAAATCTTAAATATTAATATGCTGAAAATTAAAAATAGAAAATATTAATTAAAAAAAAACATTCTCAACGAAAATATTTTTTCTTGTTCTTTATATAATTAAATACTCTTGAGGATAAAATGTTGCTGTAATATGAATGAATATATTTATATTTTGGTGGTGTTTTGAAAAAGAAATTCCAACAGCATTCACTATAAAGTTTGTTTTTGCGAATGTTTCGTTATAACAAATTGTGCTTAAAATTACAAGGCATTTTTTTTTAAACGAAATAAAAAAAAAAACTTTTGAAAGAATTAAAAAGGAACAATTTATTTAAATAAATTTTATTAATCCTCTCGCCTCTCAAGATTTAAATTTAAATGGCACAATTTTTATTTTAGAGATAAATAAAAAAATTATAATAATTGTACATTAAAAAAACACCAGATTTCTGCTATAATGTAAAAACATATGTCATTCATTTTATTTATTTTGGCTGAAGAAATCACGTGAGAAATAGAAATACGTAGAACAATCTCAATTATTAAATAATAATCTTGGAATAAAAAAAGATTTATTTAATTTTATATTAATTTAATGATACAAAAAATACATAAATATTTAAATATTATTATAAAACAATTCTTTTTTCTTTATGGATGTGAATTATATATATTATATGTATGTATATTATTTACTTTTTAAAAAAATAATTTAATTTCTTTTGTTTTTTTTGTGATACGATTTTTTCTTAATCACTTCTCCACTGATAATAATAATGATGATGATAATGATGATAAGATAATTAATTAATAATAATTCAAGAAAAAAAAAATCGGTAACGTAATAAAAGAAAAATGGAAAAACTTTACTTGAAGATTTGCATCTGGTGGTTCGTCAGCTTGACTAGAAGTTTTTTGGTCTTCTAATTTTTTACTTAATTTTCCTCCTCCTTTTTGTACACCACGTTTTTGTGCCTATTTTATATAGATAGATAGATAGATATATATAAAAATAAAAAGGTATCTTTTTTTTTTTTAGTTATATTAAAAGCAAGGATTTCGTATGTCTTACTTGTTTTGCACGTCGTTCGGCAGCTTCAGCAGCAGCTGCCCTTGAGCTTGAAACATCACCCTCTTCTTCTTCCTCCTCCTCCTCTTCTTCGTATTGTTCTTGTTGTGTTTTTTGATACTGTTGCCGTTCTTTCAGTGGTTGTGTTGGAGGGCCAGAGCCAAGTCTTTGACCTCTACCTTTAGTTTTTCTTTTTGTTGGGAGGCAGTCAGAACACTTTTCAATAACAGCTCCCATTTTTTTTTTTTTAAAAAAAAAAAAATTATATAGATATATATTCTTTTTTATTTTCGGAAAACCAAATTCAATTAAAAAAAAATTAAGAATTAAAGTAAAAAAAAAAAAAAAAAAGTTAACAGAACAGAATTCTTGAAAATGAAAAATGTCTTAAAAATATTCCCAATTGAATTTGATGTAACATTAAGGTTAAAATGAGAGTCATTGTCATCTCGTGCTTTTTAATAGAACACGAGACAAGATTGACACAAGCATTGACACAAGCATTTGGCACAAGCATTTGACACAAGCATTGACCTGTTTTTAAAATATATCGGGGAATCCACCAAGTCATGCCCTTCCCAAAACTTTAGAAAACTTTATTAGTATTCATTTTCAACCTTCTGTGAGGTGTATATATATATGAGCTCTTTTACAAAGCAATTTGCCACAGAAGAATTTTAAACCTCGAGGAATAAAAGGAGAATTAAAATAACATAATTATCATTTCAAAGGTTCACCTTTTGCAAGAATTGAAATAATAAAATTATTTATAATTATTGTCAGAACACTAAATAATTATACATAAAGTAAGAAGACCTAACCTACTAAATGGGAAACAACTTAGATCATTATCACGAAAGTATCAATAACAATAAACTTCCAGAAAAAGAGAAAAGACATGTCATGGAAGGAGAAGGTTTGTTTTCAAAGATTTTTGTATTAATGCAATCACCATTTAAAAAAATTTAATAACGTGAAATCTTATTTTTCACACTTGGGCATTTACTTAACCTTGGTCAAGAAACTAAACCAACTGAGAATTTAAAAAAAATTTTATTAGTTGATATTCTTTAAAGAAATTTATTTAATGTTAAAAAAAATTTCAATTGTCAAATTTTATCTATCATTTATTATTTCGAAAGAAATAGATGACAACTTATGGATTAAATTGTTATTTTTATTATTTTATTGAAATCTCTTTAACAATTTAATAAATTTTAAAAAAATAAAGGTAAAACAAAAAAAAAATATTTTAATAAATAACAAACGATAATAATAATAATAAAGAAAAATAGAAATAGTAAAAAAAAAAAAAAAAGAGAAGCATCAAATGTTTATATTACAATCGTTAAAATGATACGAATTAACGATTGTATATAAAAAAATAATAATAAATATATATATAAAATAATAATAATTATAGAAATTGATTAGTTAATAAATGAATAATCTTTCAAGATATCAAAAATAAATTATTCTTATATAATTTAAAAATTATTCTGTCGATTATTCTCTTGTTCAACCAAGAAATTAATAATTTCGTCTAAATTATCATTATATATGTCCAATAATTTATCATTCTCTTCTTCATTTAAGAATCCCATTTCTGCAAGATAAACTTTCTTTCCATCACGAGTAAGATCTCTCGGTGGTGGTTCAACGATAGTATTAGTATCTCGTTTATTTATATCATCATCAATGTAATTAATATCGTCATCAGTATCATTAATAGTATCAAAACTATCATCTGAATTAAATTGATGTTTATCATGAACATCTGGAAATTCAAGAGTTTGATTAGGTAATCCGAAAGGATTGTAAGAAGTATTGGCTACAGAACGAATTGGTGGAAAATTAATACCAGAAGGTGGTGGTGATGATGATGATGATGATGACGATGATTTTCGTTGTGGAAATGAAGCATAATTATCTATTGTGGGATAATTTGGTTCTGAGGATCGTTGTTGCGGTGGTACATTTGAACGAATATTATAAAATGGTGATCTTTGAGTATTAATTGGATTATTTGTATTTAGAGATTTTAAAGAATTTATCAATTGATTAATATTATCATGATTCACAGGATTAAGTATTTCTTCCATAAATTGATTAATAGATTCAAGAATTTGAGGATTTTTTTCCAAAATATCCGAAGATCGTTCAGCTAAATCATTAAATTGATCCAAGAGTTCAAGATAACGAGATGATTTATAATGACTGCTACTACTACTATTACTAGGTATTTTAACGGATTTCTCTTCTTTTCTTCCTTTATTCTTTTCATCCTTCTTTTCAATATAATATAAATCGTCATCGTCATCGGATTCCTCTTCAGATTCTTCTTCAGACTCTTCTTCAGATATCTCATCGGAATCGTCGTCACTTTTTTCGAAAATGGGTTTTGATTTTGAATTAATATTCAAATTATTATTATTATCAACAAGCATTTTTTGTTGTTGTTGTCGTAGTTGCTCTTGTCGAAATTGTTCTTGTCGTAGTTGCTCTTGTCGCTGTAGCTCAAGTTGCTCTTGTCGAAGTTGTTCTTGTCGTTGTTGCTCAAGTTGCTCTTGTCGAAGTTGCTCTTGTCGAAGTTGTTCTTGTCGTTGTTGCTCAAGTTGCTCTTGTCGAAGTTGCTCTTGTCGTTGTTGCTCAAGTTGCTCTTGTCGTTGTTGCTCAAGTTGCTCTTGTCGTAGTTGCTCTTGAAGTTGTTCTCGTCGCTGTCGCTCAAGTTGCTCTTCTCGAAGTTGGTCTTGACGAAGTTGTTCTTGTCGCTGTCGCTCAAGTTGCTCTTGTCGAAGTTGCTCTTGACGAAGTTGTTCTTGTCGCTGTCGTTCAAGTTGCTCTTCTCGAAGTTGGTCTTGTCGTAGTTGTTCTTGTCGCTGTTGCTCAAGTTGCTCTTGTCGTAGTTGTTCTTGTCGCTGTTGCTCAAGTTGTTCTTCTCGAAGTTGGTCTTGTCGTAGTTGCTCTTGTCGCTGTTGCTCAAGTTGCTCTTGTCGTAGTTGATCTTGTCGCTGTTGCTCTAGTAGTCGTAGTTGTTCTTGTTGTTGAAGTTGCTGTTGTTGCTCAAGTTGTCGCAGTTGCTCTTGTTGCTGCGCATCCAAAATATTATTATCATTACCGTCCCCTTTTCCTTGATATGATTCAAGATGATCATCATCATAATCATTATTATTAACTAGTTGAAAATCATTTTCAGTACTTAAATTAAATTTAATGATTTTTCCTGCTTGGTGAGATATAATGTCCAAAAGTTCCATGTCAGTAGAAAGTGTGACGACATCTCCATCTTCGTCTTCGTACGAAAGTGTAATATTTTCTTTATTTGGAATAGAAAAAATTAGTCGAATTTTTGATTCGAGGTCAGACCAGGAAGTTTTATCAGGAATAGCGAAACGACGAAGAGTATCTTGATAGAAAACTTTTATGTTGACAACCATTTTTATATAAAAATTGTTGTTGTAATTGATTTATATTATTATTTTTATTTGTAAAACTTTTTTTTTTTAAATATTTTAAAAAAATAATAATAATAAAATTTTCTCCAGTTTCTCCAGAGAAGTGAAAATAATAAAAAGTGAATTAATTTTTATTATTAAAAATTAGTGTATTATATGGATATATTTATTATTTGTAAGCGGCGTGGGAAGAAATTCTATTTATCCTATTGACTTTGGGCAACAATAAAATGCGTTGTACAAGTACCATTCTATACCTCTTTAATTCTTACTCTCAGCTGATTCTACTAATTCAGTCTTAATTGACTAATTAATTGAACTATCAATTTTGAAACATTTTGTAACCATTTTTTATTTAACAAAAAAACAAAACAAAACAAAACAAAACAAAACATGAATTTTTTAAAATTTTTATACAGTAAAACTAAAATTTTTTTTTATAAATAAAATTTATATTTTAAATTCTATTTTATTTTGATCTAATATATTTTCCAATTACGATGGCGTGATCTCGCTCATATGGTTCTAGAGTAAGTTGTTCTTGAGGTTTTATATATTCCTCTTGTAATTTTTTTACTTCCCTCGCGAAAACTGTTGAAGCTTCTACCGTGGAATCGATACAGTTGGCTTTAATAGATATAACAATGTGTCCATTATTTTTGAGAAAATGATGAGAATTTAATGTAATAATACGAGCTTGATCTGGTTGAGCTATATCGGCAAAAATCACATCAACCATATTAACCAACATTCGATATTTTTGTGGATGACGTGCATCTTCAATAATTGGAATTATATTTGTACGTTTCTTTGCCACATTAATTAAATCACGACCTGATCGATGTGAGAATTCAACAGCATAAACTCTTCCCTCCTGTAAATTATTGAATTACATAAAAATAAAAATAAAATAATAATTTTTAATAATTTGAATTATAAAAAATAAATAAATTATATTTTTTTAAGAATAAAAATTAATAATTGTATTTTTAGATTTTAACGTGAGATTATTTGAGAGAGATGGATATATTTATATTCTAACCTGGCCAACGATATCGGCAACATGTGATACCGTAGTTCCTGATGCTGCTCCAAGATATAATACTTTCGATTTAGGTGAGATATAAATATTATCAAGACCACCCAGAATACCAGCAGCTAATTTCGAACGAAATGGATTCCAAACTCGGTATTCTACTTTATTCCCATCTTTATCTTCTACTGAAATTCTTTTTTCTCCATAAACTGATTCTCCAACTACGAGATTTTTGGTAACAAGAAGATCCTCTTTGCCGCGTGCAACAAAAACTCCTACATAAATAAACAATTAAATAAATAATTAAATAAATAATTAAATAAATAAATAATCAATAATAATTAAATATTTTAATTAACAAAAATTCATTTTTAAATAATTTATAAATAATTATTTATATAATTGTATATATTTACTAATGTATTTTTTTTTATGGTGACCATTCATGAATAAAGAGGAGGAGACTTCGTTAAATAAATAAATAAATAAATAAATAATTATATATTACCTTCATGTCTATGTGGTTCAATAATAACTTTAGAACCTCCTCTAGCTCCAAATTTACCTCCACCACGTCCTCCACCACGCCCACCGCGTCCTCTACTACCTCCTCTACCACCACCTCTACCACCTCGATCTGAATTACCATTTCGTCCAAGTCCACGTCTTAAACCACCTAAAAGATTATTTTGAATAAATTATATTTATCGAATGTTTTAATCCTTCACGAAATAAAAAAAGTTCACTATTAATTTACCTCCTCCTCCACGACCCGTTGTTCCACCACGACCTCCACCACCACCACCACCACGACCTCCTCTAGTTCCACCACGACCTCCCCTACCTCCACGTAATAAGAATCAATATAATAAGAATAAAGTGAAATTAATTGAATTTGATCTGAATAAATTATAATGAAAAATACTTACTAAATGCCATGATTATTATGATTATTATTATTATTATTTATTTTTTAAATTTATTAATTATTGTTATTTCAATTATATATATATTTTTTTTAATAAAAAAAAAAGGACAAAAAAAAAAATCATGAATGATTATCAGATCTCCTAAATTAAAACATTGGTTATTAATCACGTGCATAGGACGGATTCTACTTGTGACTCCAACGTGCATTATGCAATTCGAAGCAATCGAAGAAGGTAATTATTATCATTAGAACATAATACATAATAATAATACTAAATAATGATAATAATAATAGAGAGAAAGGAGAAAAGGGTAAAGGGTTTAGCAATCAAAGTAATTTCATTTCGAAAACCAACCATGAAATTACATATTTTAATTTACTAATCAAATTATATTTTATTTATTATTTTATTATTATTATTTTTTTATTATTTTCATTATTAATAAAGTTTTTAAAATTTTGATTTTTTATAAATGTAATAATTTTTTTTATATACAATACAAATAAATATATTTAATTTAATTTTTTTATTTAAAATTTAATAAAGTAAAAAACAACGAAAATATCGCTTTTTCATTTGTAATAAAATAAGAAAATTTAAAAATTTATAAGATTTTATTAATTATATGAATTTAAGAAATAAAAAAAAATATTGAAAAATATTGAAAATATAAAAAAATATAGAAAAAAAATAAAACCACTACAACTTCTTATATATATTATGACAACCCTTCTTGAACTTTCTCCACAACCTCGCTCTCCTACTTTCTTCTTTAATCACCCTCACTTCATTCTCCCCCAAGTCATCACTTTCTTCCCATTCTTCTCCAACTTCTCCAACTTCAAGTTCAATTCATATCCTTCGGGAATGGGGATCCACGCCACATCATTACCTATCTTTAAAAAATCATTAATTAGCATAATCATATTATTATTATTACAAATATGTATGAGCTCCTACATCATCATCACGAGGGCTTAGTAGGATTGGGCGTCCGTTATTACTACGTCAATTGGAACTTTTAATCCCTCTACAATGAAGGGAAAATTCGAAATCTCACCCACAGCACGTTTACTTTCACCATGAACGTTAATCATGTCGCCGTAAAACGGTCTTTCTATCTCCATATTAAGTTTCTTTAAAGATGAGAAGAAACTACACTACCAGACGAACCGCTGTCAACTATGAAGGGAATAAGCTTTCCTTTCACAGTGGCATTGCAATAAAGGGCGGTGGCTCACTGCTCATACTGAAGTCCTATGTTGGTTTACAAAACAAGCAAGCTACCATTACCTTCGGCAACTCTTTAGAGCAGTTCCCAACATGAGACAAGAACTTAAATCGGCTACTACAGAATAAGGATTTATAAGAGAGGCGTTTTGAGGTAACTCTTCTTTGTAATTCTCCCTTCTTGGCGGCATTTGGCCGTTTTCCTTTTCTCTTTGAACTTATGTTTTCAATTCTTCATTCCTGGCAGGTTCATTAGTGAACTCCATTGGTTCAGGTTCATTATTTTGTTGGAAGGGGTTCTCTTCAAAATTCACAATAATTTGTGGTTCCCTTTCATTAACTTTACTTGAGGTAGCTTTCGCGTTTTCTTTTCTTTCACTTCTATTTTGTCGGCTTCTCTTTTCTTACTTCTGGGATCATTCCTTCTCCTTCATCTGATCTTGCATATTTTCCTACATAGTAAGGAGCTTCTTTGGGTTCTGGTCCATGGAAGTTAAAAAAAGGATTCTGCCTCAAATGTAATTGATTTAAATACTTTTTCAGAGGAAGAAACCAAATTTGACCTTGAGGATGAATTTTTTAGTTTTGGAGCACCAGATTTGATGATGAAAATATTGCACTTGAACTTTTTAAAAAACTTTTTAATAATGAAATTAGTTAAATCAGAAGAGAGTTATCAGTCAGTAATTTCTTACTTTCATTTATTGCTATTGGGAGAAAAAAAATGAATGCAAGTTTAGTGGTTGCCAAAATTCATAAAGGAGATGAATATCATGCACGCTGTATTTGGAAATGGGCAAAAATATGCTTAGAAGGTAATTAGATAATTACTATTAAAATTTGATTTTTGAAATAGTTCACTTGATTTTTCACTATGCTCACGTTGCAAATACAAAGAAACATTGATGCTTTTTTTTCAAGAATAATACTTAGATTCTTTTTATACCTTCAGAATGTTATGACATAATTTTATCACTTTTATCAAAGTAAACTGCCTTTAAGCGATTAATAAAATGGTTCAGAAGGTATAAAATTACTTGAATCTTAATTTTTCCAAGCTGACATATATATATATATATTGAAAAACAAATTCTTACGAATTTTTTACACTTCCAGAACTTTGAGACATAATTTTTAATACATTGGTCAAGGTAAACTGCCTTTGAGCAACTAATTAAACTGTTCAGAAGGTATAAAAGAAATTGAATATTTGTTTTCGCTAAGCTGGCTTACAAATGGATTGAAAGATGAATTTTTCTTTAATTACAAATGCTTACGAATTTTTAATACTTCCAGAACTTTAACCAATTATTAAAAATTATGCTTCAAAGTAAACTGCCTTTGAGCGACTGATGAAAACTGTTCGGAAGGTATGAATGTAATTGAATATTTGTTTTCGCTAAGCTGGCTTACAAATGGATTGAAAGATGAATTTTTCTTTAATTACAAATACTCCCAATTTTTTTTACAGTTCAATTTCACTTTTAAAACTTTGTGATGTAATTTTTAATACATTGGTCAAAGTAAACTGCTTTTAAGCGACTAATTAAAACTGTTCAGAAAGTATGAAAGTAATTAAATATTTGTTTTCGCTAAGCTGGCTTACAACGGATTGAAAGGTGAATTTTTCTTTAATTAAAAATGGGAAATTATAGTCATCTCTGTCCAGAGATATATAACATATGCATCTCTGGCTTGTCAACTAATAAAATTACGTGATCATCATCTGCCATGTCAATTAAATCACAATACCATCACGTGATTACGTGATCCAACAATTCCGGTATTTAGTTTATATTTAGTACAAGAGTGCTTCGGGAAGAAAATGCCATACTTATCAAATTGGATTTTTGAGCCTACTATTAAGGAACTTTTATACTTGCGACAAATCTTTTGAAGATAGCAAGATTAAAGCTATTCAATAAACAAAATGAAACCTCCATTGGTTTTAAAAATTAATAAACCAATATCTGTTAGCTAGCAATGATTATATCAAGTATACAACAAGATATAGACTTACAAGAATGAAACATTAATGGTGAGTTGTTACTTGATACAATTCATTTTCTACAAAACAAATATATTTTTCTACGTCAATCTAACCATTCACACATGAAAATGAAGACAAAGAAGTTCACAATCATGAAGAAGAACCAGGAAATGAAAAAATTTCCAATAATAATAAGGAACCAGGAAATTTATTTTTTCAGCATGATCAGGCCTATTCCTCCCTTGAAGCTTTTAAATATATTACGAACCAATATGCCAGAATAAACAAGTTCAACATGATTTTTATAAGGGCAATAATCGTAGTGACAGTGTATATTTTTGCTTGTGATCCTAAGGATCCCAACAAAAAGAGCTGAAATATGTTATCGTAAGGATAATTACAAACTACAAAACAATTAATAAATAGCAAAGTTTATATACTTCTATTCTTAAAAATTTAACTTTATGCACTTCCGATCATGCATCATGAATCCTTAAAAATTAATTAACTTCATCATATATCATAAAGTTTTTTGTGTTTGTATTTAAAGAATGTAAAAATTATATTTAAATTGTTTAACATCAATAAAATTTAATAAGATAATGCTCTTATTTTATTATTACTTGTTAATATCTAAAAGAAATTATAAAGATATACAACCAGTCTACTACACAATATTTTTGATAAAAATGACTACTGTTACTTTATCTAAATATTATTACAAGTACATTTTTGTAATGACCTTTGACTAGTATTTTTGCTTTGGATCCTGGTAGAGCTTTCTTCAAGATTCTTTTTTGATCACCTCATTTCTTTTTTATAGTGGCTTCAGAAATATTTTTTTTTACATTGGATTCTTCTTTTTTTTTTTTGACTGTCCAACAGCCTTACTCTTAACAGAATGATTATTGCTGAATTTTTTGAAGATGCTGGTGACTGTGTCATACATGTTAAAGCAGAATTGCTAGAAATAGTATATAAAGCTTCCAAATATTTCAACATGAAATCTGTACACTTATCAGGATCTGTTGTAATCTTGCTTGCGATTTCTTTACATAGTCAGTTAATTCGTATATAACAAATTCGAGAGGTACCTTCACTGGATGATTCATTGGATATTGGGATTACTGTAATTTGTGATTGTGAGCTATAAAAACTGATATAATCTTTAACAAGCTCCAGCTTAGGAGAATCTTTTGTCAGCATTTTGAAAAATGGATAGGATCGAGTCAGTCAAGAAAAAGATGAACTGTGACAGTAAGAGAATGGTGACAAACTATCTCAGCAAATTTGAGATTATAGCAGCAACAACTAAGTATATGATCATCATAATACACCTAACAAATAACATCTGATCTCTCATAACATGATAATTTGAACTGATGCATTTCATCATTTGTCATTTCTTCACATGCATATGCATCTTTGGCACTCCATTCAGCCAAAAATTTCTTCTAAGCATATTGAATTAGACAATCAACAGCTTAATTTTCAATAGGATTTTGAAAAGTCTGGTGGATGGAATAAACAAGTTCTTTATATGTAGCAACATGCTCAGCATCTTCTCAAAGATCAAGTGCTTGTTCGAAGGCCGCTAAAAACTCTGTAAGCATAGTTTTGCTATCAATGAAGTACTTTAACAACATATTCATTGATTCACCACTTTGTGTCAATGACATGTTGACAAAAAAATAATTCTTTAGATATGCTGGAGCCCATCGTTCATGTCATTGATTAAGAACGTTAAGATACAATTTCACTTCTGCATAGTTTCCATTTTTCATAATGTAATTTCATTGCTTTTCAAACTCGTTTTTATCCATATATGATTTAGCACTTGATGAAATCTGAATGAAGCGCAGTATAATTCAATTCAAGTTTAGAAGTTATATTAGACTTGATATTCTTAAGCATGTGCCATATACAAAGACCATGCTTAGTACCATGTTATCTATGAGTGTTGTTTTAGGTACCGAAACAAAAATATGGAGAAAAGATTTGAAAAGCTATTTAAAACTTGAACAGGTTTCATCTCGAAGTAATTACATTTGTATATATTATCAAATACGTTAGTGTCATGAAAACGCATATATTTTCATTTTTTGTGATGGATATGTCCAAACGACATGCTTTAAACGATTTTCACAATCTAACTCGAATTCGTAAGAAAACTCAAGATCTTCACTGCATTTTTGTTGGAGGAGAGAGAGGAAATCATGTACTTGAAATTTATTATGTGATATGCGATTAGTACTAATTAAATTGTACACATCTTTGATCATCTATTTTTTCGCAATTGGTCTATACTTTACTACAAGCAGAGATTGTATTTGTGATGTCAAAATGCCTACTTTTTTGCAAGAAAAATTTTTTATTGAATATCTGCTGGTATTTCACAATTAGAGGACAAAATGTGTATAAGTTGAGCTGGAATAAGGGGCGGTTATAGTGGAGTATGGCTTGTGAAACATACCATTTTTCATCATCCAAATTATAATTGAGACAAATTAGTTATTTCGGCTCTTTTTATTGAGATCCTTAGGCTTAGATTTGAATTCACCAGAGCAATCACAAACGAAAACTTGAGCATAATGTACACTGTCACTATGGTTATTGCCCTTATAAAAAATTACGTTGAACCTATTTATTCTGGCATATTGGCCTGCGATATATTTAAATGCCTCAAAGAGGAATAAGCCTGACCATGCTGAAAAAAATAAATTTCCTGGTTCCTTTTTATTATTGGAATTTTTTCATTTCCCGGTTCTTCTTCTGATTGTGAACTTTTTCATCTTCATTTTTGTGCGTGGATGGTCAGATTGATGTAGAAAAATATATTGTTTTGTAGAAAATAAACTGTACTAAGTAATAACTCACCATTAATGTTTCATTCTTGTAAGTCCATATCTTGTTGTATACTTGATATAATCATTGCTAGCTACTAACAGATATTAGTTTATTAATTTTTAAAACCAATAGAGGTTTCACTTTGTTTATTGAATAGATTTAATCTCATTATCTCCAAAAGATTTGTTGCAAGTATAAAAGTTTCTCAATAGTAGGCTCAAAAATCCAATTTAATAAGTATGGCGTTTCCTCCCCAAAGCACTTTTTGAGATGAAAAATGTACATGGAAAAATTTTGTTTATCTGCATGTATACTAAATATAAATTAAATCACCAGAATTGTTGATTATGTAATAGTCTGGTGATCTAATTGACATGGCAGATGATGATCATGTAATTTAATACATTTTTATTGCCAGAAATATGTTTTATATTATATATCTCTGGACAGAGATGCCTATAATTTCCTTTTGAAAATACTCACAAATTTTTTTTTACAGTTCCATTTTACATCCAGAACCTCAAGACATAATTTCAATGCATTGGTCAAAGTAAATTTTGAGCAACTAATTAAAACTGTTCAAAAGATATAAAAATAAATTGAATATTTGTTTCGTTAAGCTGATATTGAAATATGAATTTTTCTTTAATTATAAATATTCACGAATTTTTATACTTCCAGAACTTTGAAACGTAATTTTTAATACATTGGTCAAAGTAAACTACCTTTGAGCGACTAATTAAAACTATTCGGAAAGTATGAAAGTACTTGAATATTTGTTTTTTTAAGCTGGCTTACAAATGGATTAAAAGTTGAATTTCTTTAAGTACAAATACTCACAAATTTTTTTTACAGTTCCATTTTACATCCAGAATTTTGTGATATAATTTCAATACATTAATCAAAGTAAACTGCCTTTGAGTGACTAATTAAAATTAATATCATAATTTTGCTAAGCTGGTTTACAAATGGATTGAAAGATAAATGATTCTTTAATTATATATACTTTCAATTTTTTTATACTTTTAAAATTTAGTTTAGTTTGTAAATTCTATAACGGATCCTTCAATAGCAAGTTTATAAGAAATCTGAAAAGCCTTTTTTTGTATCCTTTTTCAACACAAAGGCCATTTAAATGCATATTTATAAGAGAGATTGTTGTTAATATTGTATAGCTTCTTTAAAGGTGAAGAAATAGAGGAGGATGTATCAATTATTTCATTGACAGCTAAATTAAAGAATTCAAAAGCCATTTGATAATCAATAACAGTCGCAATACCGTACTCGCAAAAATCCTATCAAATAAGTAAACGAGTGATGAGATGGATGACTGATAATTTGATATAGAATTTCAACCGAGTTCTTCTAATATTTTTAATTATAATATAAATCTTCAATAAGCAAATTAATATCAGCTGACACATCGACAAAGTTGAATTAGGTTTAATTTTAGGTTCTTCATTTTGTCTTAATAAAGAATTTTTTATTTAATAATTTTTTAGATTTAAAAATATTAAATCTTATATCTTACATGCTTGATTTTTCTGATTTAACAGAGATAATTTCATCTGAGGAGCTGCATTTTCAAAACTTGTATCAGGGACATAAATATATATATTTTTTTTAGTGACCTCCTCTTTATTCATCAATGAATGATATTGTAATATAAAGTATATAAAAAGAATAAAAACTTGCTAAGATAAAATCAATCATCCGACTCGCCGTCCTCCGGAAGGAAATCCATTAAAGGACAGTGTGTGGCAATCCCACTGCCGTCTAAATTTTGAACATAAATATAAGAGTAAGAGTTAAATTTAGCTATTATATTAAATTAAAAAAAGCGATACTTCTAATTATTACAGTATACCCTTCTCTACTTTTTCAACAATTAATCAACAACTCTTATCTTATTTAAATTTAGAATGTTATTAAATTTTTTTCTATTATAATCAGTAAACTAGTATAAAAAATATAATTATTTGTACATTGTGACATAGTGACGGTAAATTATTGGGAATAAATATTATTTTGAATAACTATTGCATCACTACATTAGATTAAATATTGTATAAAACGAAAATTTTCTTAATTTGTCTTTTTATTTTTTTTTAAAAGTTCTATTTCTTAGACAAAAAAAATGGAAACTAAAATTTCCACAGAAATATTAAATATAATTTTAAAAAATGTTCAATCATCTCTTTCAACTCAAGATTTATATTCATCATTATTAGTTAATCGATTTTGGTGTGAAGCTACGGCACCTATACTTTGGGAAATTCCTTTGGGTCAAGAATTTAATTGGGAGAATTTGAGGAGGAAAGCATTATGTATTCGAACTTATATATCATGTATGGATAATCAAGATAGAACTTTACTTACTCAAAATGGTTTTGACTTATTATCATTACCACTTTTGATTATCCATCATTCACTCATAAGTTTATAGTTAATAATTTAGTTTATTTTAGTTTCATATATTCACAACAAATTTTTGGTCTAGATCAAGATGATTATATCATCCCCAAATCGAGAATATTATTTCTTGAATTAGTAATAAATAGGTGCACATTTTTAGACAAATTTAAATTAGTTGAAGTTCCCGATATTTTTATTGAAAAATTTCACAATTATAATGATTTAATTGGTAAAATTCTCGATTTACCTGATGCCCCTAAAGTATTGAAGAAATTAGAAAGTTTCACTTCGACAATAAGAAATTATGAAAATTTTGATGATCAGATTTGTCAATTATATGAATTATTAAAATTAATTTGTGATAATATTTTAAATATGGATTTATTTTTAGTATCAGATCTTCAAGAACAATTTTTGGTAGAACTTATTAGTTTTCAAAAGCTTTTAGAAAATCTATCAATTGTTAAACACTGAACTTTCTAATTTATTTTGGGAAATCACTAGTAATTACGAAACATTAAAGAGTCTTCGTTTAAAGGACGTACTTTTTGGGTAATTACCCCCCAAATTGGACAATTTACTTTACTTTAAGAACTTTACATTGAGGATTTTTATGGGTTGCATGATTCCAAATCCTTATCATTCTTATCATTGGCTTCATCATTTACTCAATTAAATAGTTTTCATTATGTTCATTCAAGTTATATTTCTGAAAAGTATACTGAAAATTTTATTATAAAAATTCTTGAAACGGCCAATACAAATTTAAGAAATATCTATTTAGATTTGTTCCCCGTAATTTCATCAGCTACAATTGATGCAAAGGTTACAAATTTAACTGTATATAATTTGCGCAATTATAAAATAACAAAAATATTTAATAATAATTTTAATGAATCAAGAAGTATTTCATTTAAATTAAGAAAGTTTTCAAATGTATCAATTAATCACTATAATTATGTCAATTTAAAAAATACAAAATAGATTTCATTAATACTTCTCTCAAATGCAATGACTAAATAAAATTTCAAGATTTCTAATAATAATGGTTATACTATCATCACTAATTATGCCTAATAATCCACTAATTATTTAAATAAATTGGAAAAATACATTTATAAAAATAAATGTAACAATAACCCAAATTTATGATAAATGATTAGAGCAAGCCGATAAATTAATTATTTCGATTAAATAAAATGATGCTATCTGTTGTTTAATTTAATTTTATTAAGTCGAGTAATTATGTGATAAAATAATTAAAAATCTTTAATCTATTCAAGAATTAATTGACGTTACCATAAAATCTGTGTTTCTTTTGTATGTAACTTGGTTAAAAAAATTTATCAATTTGACTTCTTTTTCTTATCTTTATGATTCTGTTATTATCAACATTGTAGGCGTCTAGTTATTTGAATCTCAAAGAGAATGTCAATAATTATCGTTTCAAGACGAAATAAGTGGAATACACTCAAAAAAAAGTAAATATTAGATAAAATTCCAAATACCTATCAGCTATAAACTATTCATTATTTCTTTTCATGATAATTTATTCACCATCATACTAAAAATTAAATTAAGATTTCAATTCTTTTTATAAATTTTCATTAAAAAGGGGAAATAAATTAAATAGATTATAAGAATAATAAATTGGACGATAATTTTCGACACTTACTACCACCTTCATGATTCTCGTATTTCTCATCCATTTTTTTAAAGAAATTATTTAATTATAAATACAAATGCTGTAGAAATAAATAAATGATTTTTGATGATTGGGTATCAATTGTATCAATTAAATAAATTCAAGAAAAAAACTGTCCTAATGATTTTTTGATTCTTTTAATGAATATTTATTATTTACCATCATGTTAACAGAGAAGACTTGTATAATTTTTAATTTTAATTATTATTCTTGCTTCGAAAAAGTATCTTATCTTTGAACATTCAATAATGAGATCTCATCCACAAATTTTTTGGAATTTAATAATATACAGTATAACATACATCATCATCAACATCATCATCGCCGTCATCGCCGTCATCAACATCATCGCCGTCATCATCATCGCCACAATTATCAGTATCACTATCGCTATAATCAAATTTAATTTAATTCTCACTCATAAGAAATGATTATTGTTTCTCATTGCCCTTTTCGGTTTTCTCGGATCATTTTTTTTTTGTTCCAGCGAGGTCTTGCCTCAAATTTATTAATTAGAAAAAGAGAAAGTTTTTTACATTACATAGGATTACATAATACAAAATACACAACTTATTCTAATGTTTATTTGAAAAGATGAGACTCGGACTAACTCATAAGAGACGGGCCCGCAGCCTATCGCCTGCAGTTTTCTCGGATCATTTATATCATGATTAGGTAAATAATAAAAGATTCAAGGATTATCTTTTCTAAAGTTTAGATATCTTTGATCTTCTGTAAGCACCTGCACCACTGTAAAATTAAAAAAAAAAATTAAAAATATAATAAATTGCAATCCAAAAATTTATAATGCACACAATTTATAATATCAATATAATACTTATAAATCCAATCGTTAACATTATACTATCTGGCATACATCTTATGGCATAATTATCCCATTGTTCTAATTTAATTAATCACATCGTTCATTAGTCTAGCTTCCACTGATGAAATTAAATATGAATTGTAATAATCAATGCTTATCTTCCAAAAACTAATAAGAATAAAATTCGTTATAATTATATAATCACATCACATAGTAATTAATGCAAAGCATTTCCGAATGGTATTTATAATTTTTGTAATATAAATAAACGCCTCAGATCTTCGAAATATATCAATAGTAATAGCTATAATAGAAAAGGTAACAAATTTCTTTCTTTTATATTTGCATACAGAAGAGAAAAAAGACATACAACTTTAAGCCATATGATTTAAAACTATGCTACCATTGGTTAAATTGATTTTAAGAACAATCATATCATCTACTCTCTCTTTTAAGTTATGCAATCTCTGTAACGATTAATACTACCGAATTCATTCAAAAATATTCCACTATCATCAAATCCAATATTTTATGCAGATATTATTCAAGACCCAGCAATTAAGATACTTTACAGTGATTAATGATTGCTAAATTAATAACGAAAGGATTATTTATTCAGTATCCGTTTTTTTTTATAAATATATTTAGTAAACATTCAGAACTTTTAGCATCATAGATTACGTGTCTGCTATTTTCAAACATTAGAGATTTCTTTGTGAACACAATAAAATAATTAAATTGATATAAAAAATTTGAAAAGGATTGAAATAAAATTGCAAATAAAAAAAAATTAATAAATCACAATGTCTATAATTTTTTCTTGTTTTACATTTATCTACAATACGTTTATCTAAATTATCTAAATATCTTACATTAAAAAACAGCAAATAATGAATACAAAAAATGAACCTAGTCCGTCATTAAAATTATTTTTATATAGAATTGAAGCATTTGAGTAAGTGTTATTAGGTTTATTGGTAGATTACTTTGGTAAAGAATTTCAGGGTATTTTCAATCATTTGATATAATTATAAACATATTTCTAATGAATTGGAAATACAGTATAATTACATATTATTATTTATTAATATTATCATCACTATTTTTCTTATTATTATCCAAATCGTCTTGATAATTAACGAGTCCGATTAATCTGCCATTTTCATTTATTGTTTAAAATCCCTCAATTTTTCTTGATCCATGAGTTTAATTTCCATTTCTCCTACATTAAATCCTTCTAAATGAAAAAGATTATCATATGTTACTTATGGTTACACTTTATCGTGATTTCAACCATTTCGAGGAAGTCTTTACATAAATTTTCATATAGTTGAATAAGTGCCTTTACCTTTACACTAATAAAAAAAAATCAAATAAAGCAACTTAATAAATATATAAGATTACAGATTGTCGTCTATTTTTATAATTTCTAAAATATCGAGTAACGTAATTTATATATATGTAACACAATTCAACCTCATAGTTGAATTTGGTATTATTGCACATTATTGTATAACGTGTAGATTAACTATATTTGTTCGTATTGAGAACGTGAATATATATTTAAACGTTATTGGTTATTAAATTGAATGCTAGAATAATACTCATTTTTTTTTTTAAAAAAAAAGTAAGTACAATTAATTTTTAGATAGTGTGTGCTTTTAATATAATTAATAATTAATAATTTAATAATTATTATATAATAATTATTTTATTTTATAGATTCAAATATGACATTTGCTGGCTCCATCTTACTTGAGAATAGAAACAGAAGCGGCTTTCTTATTAACGATAATGATGTTCAAGAGTTTGAGGGGCTTAATTTTAAGATTAAAATCGAGTCAATTCCCAGTTCGGTTAATAATGCCAGGTTATGTTTTTTGGATACGAATAATAATGAAATTTCAATTCCGAAACAAATTATATGTAACGATGTGAGCGATAATAGAAATATTATTAACAACATTCCTTTTCCGGGTACTCAATCTTTTTTAATTGAACATCTTCGTACATATGTTATTATTTATCAAAATATCAAGATTTATCAATTAAATTCTGAAAAAAAAATAATTATTCATAATTTTCGTAAAACTCAATTAAATAATGTTAATGAGAAAATTACAAATTATTTTCAAGTTTGTAATTAAATATCTATTAATAAATATTAAATACGAGAAAATAACATATAATATGATCAAGACGTGACCAATTCAAAATTGGTACATAATTTTTGTCATCATCATAATAATCACTATAGGTTTCTGCAAAGTCGGATTAGATCAGATTTTTACCAATATTCGAATCTATCCGATATTCATTCTCCTCGAATCCGATCTGGATTCGTCATATACTGTACATATCCAACTTTTTAAATCTGAATACATAAAAATATTCGAATATTTTTGTGGATTCAAATATTTTTTATGGATTCGAATATTTTATATATAATTTTGGATTTTATTACTTTTTGAAAGTTAGGATTTATAAAATCATCGATCATTGACACATATAAACTTTTTATTTTATAAGTGCATATCAAAAACGGTACTAATTATAAGAATGCATTGCATATCATATAAAGAGAACAGACTGAGTGAATAATTGACATTTTAAAATTTTTATCCATTTGACTTTAACTGCTCAGAATTCTCTCAATTTTAATTATAGGCCTGTCTATTTTACATGATATGTAATTTCCTCTTTCTTTATAGTTACTTAGTACCATTTATGATACTTACTTATTAAAATAAAAAGTTTTATATGTAGCAACAATTGACAATTATTTTAATTGCACTTAAATTGGGAACAAAAAAGTAATAAAATAATATTGTGGCGGTCTGCTCAGAACAAGAAGTAAAGTTACAACAATCAGTCCCACTAAATTGAATTCTTATTATACCCTTGCACCCTTGCGTACAGTATGTCGTACGTAATAATATACTCTTTTGAACCCTTGCGTACAGTGCGTCATATGTAATAATATACTCTTCCACAGTTAGGATCAAACAATCACTTGTCTGAACGCTGCGGACCACTACTAAAATAACTCTATAATCTTGCACACAGGTATAATCTGAAGGTACTGTACCGGAATCACTTGAAACTATTGAATTTATAATGGATTATGAAGATCCATGGATATTTAGTGCTAGTAGTTTAAGAAAACTTTTTGAAAGGTGGTGTTATAAAGGAGAAGGAAATAAAAAGGTTGTAGTAATGCGTCCAGAACGGTGACCATTTACATTAAGTGATGAACATTTTAAAGTTATTGAAGAATATAGAGTTCAATTTGATGTGGAAGTAAATCATATTTTTAGTTTGCTATCTGTTTCATTGTATTATTAATTTGTTTGTTATATTAAATATGAAAATTTAACATGTACTAAAAATCAATTTTTAGAGATATTATTTATAACTTAAATTTAATTAATTAATTTAATGTTAATCTTAATTATTTTAAAAAGTGACTTAAATTTATTAATAAAATTATGGTATATTCGATATCAGCATTTTATTTATATCAATACAAATTTTTTGCCTGCGTTAATAATAATTGATTTAATTACAAAAAAAATCAAAAAAAAGAAGAAAAATAAATGAATAAAAAATAAATGAATAAAATAAATAAAAAAATAAATAAACAAAAAAAAATAAATAAATAAATGAGAAATAATCATATCACTTAATTCATTATTCATCTATGATTAGAATGTAGAAAAAATATATGGAAATAATTAAGTTATAATTATTAAAGACAAATCAATCAGAATTACTTATTAGGGTATATGGTTGGCTTTTTTTCGCTTATAATTTTCAATCCATGTTTTAAAATTAATTAAGATTATAATAAATTTAATTTAATTAATTGATAATTTATTTAATTATTTAGTTTATGCTTTAAAAAATACCTGAACTTTGAACATTTATCGATGAATAAACTTTAACATTATATAAAACAATTTAATTGTTACATGATTTCTAAGTGACATTTAATGATCTCAGCTACTTTAAATTCTCAATCATATGTATTCTTATTTAATTAGATTTAATATATTTCATAATTATTAAAATAATTTTTATCTCTAAGTTCATTAAGTTGTAATCTTAGTGAGTTTATTTTTTTTAATTCCAACTGAATCATGCCGTATTAAACTTTTAATGATTGATTTACGAGTAAACAAGTTACATGCGAAAAGAATCCTACATTTAACAAGACTGGCTATAAGCTATTAACCTAACCACCTTCCCTATCGTTGCCTTAGTATCACCTATGGCAACTGATGGTCCACCCGTCCCTTATGACCAAAAAGTTGCTAGAAAGAAATATAGACACGCCCGAGAGCTAGAGGTGTAAAGAACTGTATGCCAATAAAAACCCATACTGCTAAAAAATTCATTCTAAAATAAAATATATATTTTCTAAGTAAGATGCAATATGATGAAATTCATTCTTAGTTTTTTAACGACTAACACTGTTCAATAAACTAAACAAACCAAATAAATTAAAATTAAAGATCAATAGACATGTACCATGTCTATTGAAACTAAACAAATCCTTGTGCAAGGAATTGCATGAAACCCTATGCATTCCCACAATTGATGTTTGTATAATGTCTATCCTGATTCGCAGACTGCAAGCAATCTATACGGCCACTTATGCCATGAATTCTAGTTCCCAACTGTTTTAACAGTATTGGTTACTTCTGTTAATCCTTTAGACATCACTTTTAATGTGTTAAAATATTCAGATCATCTGTTTCTATACTCATTTTGAAAGCTTTCTCTACTTTAGTATTTTCTTAATCCATACTTCTTGAGAGTGAACTTTCTTTTCGATTTCAGTTAATCTTAAAGACATGCTTTATTAAATCTTTAATTGCGTTACTCATTTCTTCTATAAGTACAGTATTATTAGCAATATGTCGAATGCTGCTTCATTATAGGCATCAGGAAATTTTATTAGGCGAAAATTTGCGCAAATTTTTATCTATATTATTTCCGTTTTTCAAATTCGTTCGCAATTTATGAGGAATAGAGTGATTTTCTACTAAGATATTTCTAATATAGAAAGAAAGGCCTAGTTATTGGTTACAGAAAGATATGTTTTTATTTCTTGTAGCATCAATACTCGCGGAGTTATTCGCGTTTAAAGTTATAGGAGCAAATCCGTCTTCGTTTCCTCGAAGAAGTATAAGTTGATAAGATCATTGCTTGAGAATGATATTGAATATTTGAGCCGAAATTTGGTTAAGTAATAATTATATTATTATTGTCATCATTGGGAACAGAATTTTTTTAATTCTTTATTAAAGCAAGATGAACGATAACGTAAGACAGCCGAATGTTCAGCAAAGGTTTTTTATTTTGTTCTTGATCGACTTCAATAATAATAACATTAAGTAGTTCTGAACAGTCTTGAGACAACTTTACTAAAAACTTAAATCATTTTCCTTTTTGCAATTTTAGAAAGGTTCGAGGTATAAACTTCAATATAAAGAATTTTGATAAATGAATGTTACACTTGAAGAATAATTATATAGCTGGGAAGAGAAAAAAAAATCAAAAAAATTAAGAGTTCAATTTTTCTTTAATTAATTCTTCAGAGTATTCCCATAATTTTAAAGCCAATTTCTCATCAGTTCCTAATTTTCCGGGTTTACTTAATTTACCAAGTGGCACAAAATATTTTCCTCGTAAATTTTTTTCAATAATTTCCGGACTGGTAGCGCAATAAAGTGATGTTACGGCTCCTTCTTCAACTGGAGTCATGAATAATCCAACAATTAGATTTATGGGTTTTGCCATTAATCCCATACTATCTTTCAAATTACGAAATAATTCTGTTTTGACGAGACCTATATACATTTTTATAAATATCTTATATAAATAATAATGATATCTTATATATTTATATATTGATTACGATAATAATATAATAATAATGATGATGATGATAAATACCGGGATGAACAGAATTCACGTAAACTTCTTTATCAGTGAGTCTTTTATTAAGTTCTAAGGAAAATAAAATATTTGCTAATTTCGACTGACTGTATCTTGAAAGAGAGGTATAAGCAATGGGATTGTTTATATTTTCAAAATCAATTCCACATTTAGGGCTGATCTTATGTGCCATACTATAATAATTATAATTTATAATCATCATTAGTGCAAATTTAGTATGTATATTTGGGAGCATAAAAAAATACCTAGTGAGGTTGACTATTCTGGAAGGAGCAGAAGCTTCGATTGTGGGCAAGAGTTTTATTGTGAAAAACTACAAATATATTAAATATGCGCATTATAATTTATGTTACTATTAATATATAGTAATATAGATATAATTTTTTTATTACATACAAAATGACCAATGTGGTTAGTTCCAAATTGATCTTGGATACCATCTTCTGTTAACGTGAAAGAACTAGAAAATATGTTATTATAAACACTACTGTAAATAAATTTCAAATTATTGAAAATATTAAAAATTTACGTTGCCATTATTCCAGCATTATTAACACTAAATTTATAAAATAAAAAATTAAATTAAATTTAAAGTGTAGTGTTAATCAAAATATTTTTTTGCCATAACAGATAATTTTATGTTATATTATTAACTTACAGAATATGTAACGGTAATTTTCGATCTAAAAACAATTCCGTTGCTTTCAAAACTGATTTTAAACTTGATAAATCTAATGGCAAATATTCAACTTTATCATTTCCTGTCGCCTGCTTTATTTCATCTATCGCCTTTTCACTTTTCGTTTGATTTCTACATGCCAGAAATACATGTGCATTTTTACGCGCTAATTCTTGGGCTACAATAAATCCTATTCCAGTATTTGCTCCGGTCACAATTGCGATTTTTCCTTGAAGGTCTGGAATATCGTTGATCGTGAAATTAGTTGATTTATTAAAAATACTAAACATTTTTTTCTTTATTTTTTTTTAAAAAAAATTCTTTTTAATTAATCTATAACAAGATTTTAACACGTGGCACGTGAGTCCCATTGTGACTAAATTAGAGTAAAATTTCTAACGATCAATAAACAAAGATGCTCGAGTGTGCAACAGTTGACCCCCATTCAGACATTTAGCCATTATTAAAAGGTGTGATAAATATGAAGTTTAATTGGCCAGACTTTATGGAAATTTTATTTTCTTTCTTGTAATACCATCCTTTTTTATATACAGTATTTGAATGGCTGCATATTTGAGGACTTAGCTATGATGATTCAGTAAGATTCGGTACATTCTATCTAGAAAATATAAAATTTCAGAAATCTGGAACCTTCTATTTCCTTCGGGATCCACCTTTTACGTCATTTATAAAAATATAATTAAAGTTTCGATGTTTTAATGGTATGATTACTCAATATTATATATTGCTTTTTGCGTATGAGATAAAAATATTGTAAAATAAGCAATATGTGATTTATTGCACACTTAGATTTAAAGCATCTAACATGAATTCAGACGGAAATTTTATTAATATATTTTTTCAAAGAAACATTATCTATGGTGTAAATCATGTGACTCGAAACAGTTCCAAAATTTTGAGAAAATGGACAAGCACAGGTAGTAATTTGAATGTAATAGAATGATACTTTATGATAAATTTGAAGATATTAAAAACGGATTTGGAAGAATATATAAGGCTAGGAGGATGTAGCATTAAAAAGGTTTGATAATAAATTTGCAAGTTTAAATGAAGATTTCCATAATGAGGTAAAAATATTTATTAATATCGATTTGTTTTTTAAATATTTCTTCATTTGTTTTCGGGATTTTTTATCCGATCAAAAATTATTATTTATCTTGCACACTTCCCTGCCAAAAGTATCCGACTACCTAAAAATTTTTTAAAAAATTACTAAAATTAAAAGGCAAATTGTGCAACAACGGGTTATTTGGATTGCACAAACTTTTTTTATTAGATTTCCCTAAACTAGAGCTATCATTTGATATAGTTTTTTTTAAAAATTGAACGTCTACACACATAGAAAAATTACACTTCAAATGAAATTGACAAAAAATAATAAATTCAATCTTTGATCATTACCTATACTGTATTCAATGGATATTAAAGATAGATACCAATTATTTTATATGAAATTGTAGCCAGAAATAATATCTACCACTTTAATCAGAAAAAATTTTCATAGTTTCTAGTTGAAATTTGATATTACTTAGACGTAAATAAAAACGGTCGAAATTTAATAAAAATAAAGATTAAAATAAAAAATAATTATTGATCGTTCATACACCATTAACTTTATTATTTATTAATAAAACAATAAATGTGGTACTAAGTAACCTTGAAGCCTGATATATAAAGCATCTTTTGTAAAACTTTCAGTCATATATATTTTAGAATTGAATGAATAATAGATAATTAAATTTCAAAATATTAAGTTCAATTCTCAATTTAAAAAATCTGAAACTTTAACAGTAAATGTTCCATATATTAGACTTTATCTTTACTTAGTACCACTTATATTATTATTATGTTATAGATAAAGAAGTTTAATATGTAAATACATATTTTCGGATTTTTTTTAAAAATGATTGGCACGGATTTTCTAAAATGTAGACTTTGATTGGTGGGTTTCAGATTCTGTGATTTTGTGTTTTTATCATTTTTATTGGTCCTATCGGTAATGAGGTTTATCCTTAGAGATAATTGATTAACGTAGTAAAAGTTATCAGGTGATCTCTTACGATCAAACAAATCCTTGGCATAGTAAAATTTTTCCAGATCAAAGGATTTACAAAGGATGAAAATTGATGTAACGTTGTGCAACTTGGAAAATCTAATTCCCTCTTCGACTTAATGACTTAATGGAAAAGATAAGAATAATAGAGTTATAATTATTGTTTGTAAATAATAACAGGTGATCTATGACTGAGTAAGGCCTCTAACGAAGCTTTGGCGATCCCTGGCACAGTAAAATTTTCCAGTAACATTAATTCCCTCTTGGCTTAGTGGGAGTTCAAAAAGTTGTTCTTAAAAATATCATCATTATGTTTTAATCTTTCGATACTATCATATTTTATTTTTAATAAAATTTATTATGTATTGTAATATAGTGGCAAGCTTCTTATTTTTAATATCTGAAAGAAAAAAAATTCTTTGAGCGACCAATTAAAACTGTTCAAAAGGTATGAAAATACTTGAACATTTATTTTCACTAAGCTGGTTTACAAATGGATTGAAAGATTATTCTTTCTTTAATTACAAATAATCACGAATTTTTTTGCACTTCCAGAATTTGTAACGTAATTTCAACACTTTGGTCAAAGTAACTGCCTTCTAGTGACTAATTAAAACTGTTCGGAAGATATGAAAGTACTTGAATATTTGTTTTCACTAAGTTGACTTGCAAAATGAATTGAAAGATGCTATTTCTTTAGTTACAAATACTCATGAATTTTTTTACAGTTCCTTTTTTATATCCAGAACCCGCAGATGCAATTTCAAAGTAAACTGTCTTTGAGCAACTAATTAAAACTGTTCAGAAGGTATGAAAGTACTTGAATACTTGTTTTGCTAAGCTGGTTTATAAATGGATTGAAATACGAATTTTTCTTTAATTACAAATACTCACTAATTATTTTATAGTAGAAGTAGAATTAATTTAATAAACACAGTAAAATAATATGATATATGAATAAATTAGAAATAAATAAACAAGTTTCTATATTTTATGATTGAGTTGAATTAGAAACCTGCTTTTTATTTTAATTTTTCATTAAGATAAAACTATTATTTTAATATTAATTTAACCCATGCAAAATTTCCATTGTCACAGCACAAAATACAAAATTAAAAATGGACACCTTTTAATGCAAAATCAAATCAAAACTGTAAAGGCAAACAGATAAATTCATATGTAAATAAGATTAAAACAATAATAAAGTAGTAAAAAAGAAAAAGGTGAAAATTAAATAACACAAAAATCCCTGTGCCGAAGGCATGGCCTCATGCTAGTAGAATAGTAAAATCCGTATCGATCATTTTTAAAAATTAAAAAAAAAATCTGAAGATAATTACCATTCGTTTTCACATATTAAACTTCATTATCTATCAATTTAATAAAATATGAGGTACTAAGTAAAGATAAATTCTAATATATGGAGCATCTACTGTTATAGTTTCAGATTTTTAAATTGAGATTTGAACTTAATATTAACGAGAAATTTTAAAATTATTCTCTGAAATTTAATTAACTATTATTCATTCAATTCTAAATATATATGACTGAAAGTTTTACAAAAGATGCTTTATATATCAGGCTTCAAGGTTACTTAGTACCACATTTATTGTTATAATAAAGTTATAGGTGTATGAACGATCGATAATTATTTTTTATTTTAATCTTTATTTTTATTAAATTTTGACCATTTTTATCCACATCTAAGTAATGTCAAAATTTTCACTAGATACTATGATAGCTCTAGTTTAGGAAAATCTAATAAAAAAAAGTTTGTGCAATTTAAATAATCCGTTGTGGTACAATTTATGATTATGTTTAATCATGTCCAAAGAAGAATTTCAAAAAGAAAATATTACATTTTATCAATATTCCGAATTTGAGAACATAAATTTGATCTGTAGAAACGTTTATAAAGCCACCTTAACAACTTTCCAAAAACTGTTGCTCTTAACTACGTTTATTTAAATGATAAATTTACGCTGGATATTTTAATAAATGAAGTGAGTCAAATTAAATTTTAATATGTAACTTGAATTTGCAGTTGATATTTATTTTATTTATTTATTTATTTTTATTTTTATAGAATACAAACAATCATATTATTATCCTCGAATATGTCAATGAAGGTTCTCTTTGTCAATATTTGAAAATCAATTTACAAAATATGGATTGGAATGCAAAAATTAAATCTTACAAACCAAATTGCAAATGTTTTTGATGTATTTACATTCGAATGATGTCATTCATGGAAAATTGGTACTTATTTTCTTAAAAGAAATTTCAAAAAAAATGTATTATTTTTAAATTTAATTATTTTTATAATTATTTTTTAAAGCTCTGAAAATATTTTATTCAAAACGGGAACATTAAACTAAATATTTTTGGATCAACAAAAATTATGTCTGATTCAACTTTACTTACAATACAGTATATGAATCCTCAAAAATTTGAAACTCTTCGGCAAAAATAGGAATTCAGATATTTTTGGTCTAGGAATTATTCTTTGGGAGATTTCTAACAGTAATCCTCCTTTTGTAATCTAATATTGATCTGTTAAATAATATTGATCTGTTAAACAATATCATAAAAGGAAAAAGATAAATGGATATACCTGGAGCACCTCATAGATATGAGAAAATATATACTGGTATAAATTTAAATAATCTATTAATATCATTTATATTTTTTACATAATAAATTATTAATGTGACATTTTTTACAGATTGTTGTAAGCACAATGGAAATCACGACCAGATATCTCTCAAGATGTTAAAATTCCGTTTATCAAGGATTTTTTTGAGCAAAACAGAAAATTGAAATGCATCCAATTGCGATTAAAAATTATATTAAAGAACATAAAAAAGAATCCGGCTAAAATTCTACTTGAAATGATTAGGCATCCATTTCATTATTGGTTCACGAGCCTTATAGGATTTTTTTATCAGTACGGTATTGGGACTGTTGTTGATGGCCAAATGGCTTTTAAATTCTTTAATTTCGCTTCCAATAAAATGATCGATAAGAAGAATACCTCGAATCTTTTAACAAGAAAGTTATACAAAATTAATAAAGAAATGGGGAAAATCCATCTTGCATTTATGTATTTTTTTTGGTATAGGTGTCAAGCGAAATTTGAAAAAAAAATTTCAGATCTTTTCTAAAGTCGCAGATGAAGGGTCACAGGTAGCTTTAAATTATATGGGAATTTGTTATAGTTATGGGGTTGGGGCTGAAAAATGTAAAAAGAAAGGTTTCGAATTACAATTAAAATCCGCAAAAAAAGGAGATCTTGTAGCACTTTCTGATGTTGGTTCTTGTTATAAAAATGGAAGAGGAATAGCAGTAGATAAAACTAAAGGATTTCATTGTCATATGAAATCTGCTTATGCTGTAAATATTGAGGCAATGTATAGTGTCGGGTGTAATTATGATCATGGTATTGGCGTGGATGAAGGTGAAGAAGAAGCATTTAAATAGTTTTTGAAAGCTGCCGAAAAAAGGACATCCTTCAGCACAATATAATTTAGGAGATTGTTACTAACATGGTCATAGAATTAATAAAAATGAGTTGAAAGCATTTGAATGGTTTAAAAAAGCAACAGAAAATGATCATACTAAAAGTTAATTTATGCTTGGAAATTACTTTTATGAAGGACGTGGGACTAAGAAAGATATTATAAATGTCATCTCCTGGTTAAATAAAGCAAAGGAAAATGGGATTACATATGCTTATGAATTATTAGAAGAAATAATCAGTAATATAGTGTAACAGATAAAAATAAACAATTTTTAATGGAACATTTCTTTTGCTGTAAGGATAATTATTATTAATGAAAAAATATAATTACCGTGGCATTGCATTGATTGCAAATAAAATAAAAAGGATTCAACAATTTATTTTCTAAATATTCGTCGTAATAAATATTGGTTTTTAAGTAAAAATAATTTTAATAAATAAGTATAAATTAATCTTTTACAAATAAATAATTTGCGTATTCATTATAAACAGTCTCCTCTAAATAAAATTGTTTCCTTTTTCTGAAGATGACGACATTAAATTTATAGGTATTAATTGTAACGAAAGAATGAAATGAAAAAGGTAAATTTAATTTTTATGACAATTTGCGCGTTATACGATGCAAGCTTAAATTATTAAGGGTTACTTTAATAGAGGATAATTTATTTTGTATATTTTTATTTAAGTATATATCTTTCTTTAATTATAAAATATGACATGAAATATAATATGAAATAACCCAATTTTTGCTAAGTTTCAAGTATTAATAATGTTTTATAACATTTGAAATAGAAATTATAAATTGGAATTGGTTAAATTTAGAGTGACAAATTTCAAACGTGCTAGAATTAATTCCAAAGAAATTTTGCCGTAATTAGATCTTATTGATTAAACTGTAATTATTAAAAATTATTGCAACCTTCCATAATATCAAAAACACTTTCTAAATATGATTTAATAGAATACAGATAAAAATAAAGGTAAAAAAGTAAAAAAAAAAAATAATAAAGGGAAAAAAAGTAATAACAAAGAAATTTATTTAATGTTTAAAGAATTTTGCTTCAAATATTTCTTCAATCAATTCAAAATCGTCCAGATCAACGAATTTTTTAATCCAATTAATATCTCTTATTTGATTCCAATTCTCATTAATAAATTTTAATACTTTACATTTTAATTCACTACAACCTATCCTTTTATTGATTAAAAGAATTTCATCCCAATTCTCTAAATTAATGATATTTCCAAGTCTTAAAGTAATCTCGTTTCCAAATTCTTTATATTCAAATGATTGAGCCATCATTAATAATTGTATTAAATCATCATAAGATAAATTTTGTTCTTCCAATGATTCAATTTTTCCGGTATAAGCGAAATAAATAACCAATCGAAAATAATCATATTTCGTGTTTTTAATAAAAACTCGTTTAACTCCGGCCTCGACTTCTTGAAATGTGACTTCGCCGTCGAATAATTTTTTAAAAAATGGTGATTTCATTGCAAGAAATTCACTCTTGGCATAAATCTTTGATCCACAATCCAAATTAAATAAGATATCACTACAAATTGGATTATTAAAACTTTCAATAAAATTACCATTCATATTTTCGGAATCATCATCAATGTTATTAATTTCTTCAATTTCTAATTTATAAAAATTTATTATGATGACCAATGTAATCGATTGATCAAAATTCTTTTCAGGAAAGATGGTTTCGAAATCACAAAAATTTTTAATTCCGTGACTAGTTAATTCTCTCACATCATCAGGAAAATACATTTCAGTTGAAGGTGGAATGGATCTTAAAAGTATCATTTCTGAATCTTTTTCATCAATCTTCTCATTACTACTTGTTGAAGTACAATTCAAGTCAATCTTCTCATTACTTTTATAATTCATATCAGTCACTTGGTTCTCATCATTCTCATTATCTACATTATCATTAAGATTTAGGTTTTCGGATTTTTTATCATTAATTTTATATAAATTAAATCCATATCTAATGATTTTGCTTTGTAAATGAAGATTATATTTTCTTTCGTAATCATTAATATATGATAAAAGGAATATTGAAATATGATTTCTTTCTCGAAGGATAATATCATTTGGGAAAAGTACCAAACGCCAAGAGAATCCCGGATTCGTTGTTGAAGGTGATTGAAAAGTTTCGGAAGGTGACGAAAATCTATCACTATAAATTTCGTGACCACGTGAATTCTTAAAGAAATCTTGAAAATCTTTAATTATCCAAGTATATGAAAAATTGATTTGAAAATTATCATCTAATCATATCGTATTCGTATTCGTATTTGTGTTATTTGTGTATGTGAAATTTGTTAGAATTCATTGAATTTTTATTGAGTTCATTTGAATTAAATAATTAGATTCCTTAAATTCCATGAATAATAATAATAATAATAATTATTATTATTATTATTATTATTCTGTTTACCTTGAGAATAAAATTTTGTAATTGGAGCAACGGAACTACTCGAACGATATTCATAGTTGTTATAATAATAATTATTATTATTATTGTACGTGGGTGAAATATTCGTTAAACCTGAATTATCGACATTACTCGGTGATAAATTTATCGTTGTTCTGGTTTGTGAAGTTGAAACATTTATCTTTGAAGAAGTGGATGTGGATGTTAAGTTAGACATAATTTTTTACCAATCTGTTCAAGTCTATCAATTATTTAAATTATATTAGCATAGCATTGTTTACATGTGAATCATGGACACGTGAATCATGGATGATTAAGGAATAACGATTTATGTTATGTAATAAGTACGCGCCAATTTTCATAAATTATTATAAATAAAAAAAAATATAATAAAATTATTATAAAAATATATTACAAAAGATTCAAATTTCTATTGATTCTATTGAAAAACAACCATATTAATTAAGTACATTAATTAAATACATTAATTATATACATTAATTATATATATTAATTAAATATATTAATTAAATATATTTATTTTCATCGTTCATTATTAGAAGCTCTTCGGTGTATAGCTCTTTGTCGAGCAGCTTCAACTGCTGCTAATCGTTGATTCTTTTTTTCCTCTTCTTTTATAATCTTATTTTCTTCAATATTGAAATTTTTAACTAAATCAAATTTATCATCATCATCATTCTCGTCATTTTCTTGTCCTTTGTTTTTTTCATCATCATCATCACCATCTAAGTTTACCGAACCCAATTTTTCAAATAATTTTAATTTTTCTTCTACCCATTCTATTTTTACTTTACTAATTACTTTCATTAAAGCCTTATTGGTGTATAACACATTATGATACATTACCCAATCCAAATCTTCCATTCGAACAATTTTATTTTCGGAAAATAATGATGAAGTAGATGAAATATGTAATGCTAATAATGAAGAATTTGCATCGATATCTTCGTTATTGGATGCTCGTGCTGAAGCATAATGATAAAATAATGGTCGATGTGAATGTCTTTTTGCTAGATTAATGTAATAAGATGAAGAAAAAGCTTCTAATATTTTATTGGAATCATATTTAATATCTGAGTAAGAATTTCTTCGATGCCTTTTCCTTGACCTATTATTATCATTAAATTTATCATCATTTTTGATTCGACATGAAGTTATTGGAAGATCATGTTTTAACATTAATTCTCTTAATTGATCTCGTATACTTTTGGCCATTGTTAATGTACGACGATTTAAGTATCTTTCTTTACACCATTCTCGACTATATCCATTATCAAGGTATGCCTCAAAAATATTAAGGAGTGTCATATGATCTCCCGATGGATGATAGAATTCTTTGCGTCTCTCACTCGCTTCAAATTGTTTTTCTTCAGATCTTGGTGAAATAAAAATTTCTTCCACGGATAACATTGCAACAATAATTAAAACTTCCCTACTACATCCAAATTCTTTTGAACTAGCGACCAAAACCCTTGATAAAAATGGACTTAATGGAAATATTGACATTTCATCACCTAAATTGGTAAGTTTTCCTTTATCATCGATAGCTTCTAGTAAAAATAATTGTTTTAAAGCATTCTTAACTAATAAAGAATCCGGTGGATCTATAAATTCGAAATTAAGAATATCTCTAATTCCCATTTTTTTAAGACTTAACACTGTACCGAGAAGACTACTTCTTTGTATTTCTGGTATAGTTTCTTTTTCCATTTGTTCAAATGATTCACGACTATAAAGTCTATAAGCTTTTCCGGGTGCAGTTCTTCCTGCACGTCCAGCTCTTTGTGTGGCGGCAGCCTGTGAAATTGGAACTACCAAAAGAGCATCCATCCCAGTGGTTGGGTCATATGATTTTTGCTTTACGAAACCAGAGTCGACAACGTATCTAAAAAAAAATAAAATAAAAATAAAATTGGTAAAAAAAAATAAAAATAAAAAAAATAATGTAAATAATGTAAATAATGTAAACGATTTCGTGAATTAGAAACAAAAATTCTATTAATTACTTGATACCAGGTATAGTAACAGATGTCTAATTTTTCATAATTAAAAAAGATTAAAAAAAAAAAATTTAAAAAAATTTAAAAAAATTAAAAAAATTAAAAAAAAAAATTAGTTAATTTAATTTAATTTATTCAGAATTTAATGTTCCTAATTTTAAGTTAAATTAAATTAAATTCAAATAATTTGATACCTGAGCTATATTTGTAGCGAAGATAATCTTTCTTTTGTATCGTGGTGGGTCTTCGAATACAGCTTTCTGTTCCAAAGTTTCCAAAGATGCATAAATAGGATAAACTACTATTCCTCGAACTTCATCGGCATATTTCACGTCTTTTCTATAATTTAAATTAGCTTCTTGATCTAAAAGATCTCTGCAAGCCTTTTCGATTTCATTTTGACCAGTTAAAAATACCAAAATGTCACCAGGTGATTCTTGACAATGAATGTATAACGCAGTTTCCACTGCACGCATCACAAATGTTGATTTTAAACTAATAATTCTTGCATCACGATGATGATTTATAAGAACGTTATACGTTCTTCCAGGTATAACAAAAATCGGACAACTATTAAAGAAATCCGAAAATTTTTCAACATTCAGAGTTGCTGACATCACTAATATCTTTAAATCTGGACGTAAAATATGTGTTGTTTTTAATAATCCAAATAATACATCCGTCTCCAGAGTTCTTTCATGAGCTATTTTTTAATAATAAATAACTGATTTAAGTTTATTGTTCATTCAATAAAAACATAATAATTATCCAGTAATAAAAAATAATAATAAAATAAATAAAAGAATAGAAAAATAAATAAAAAATAAATTAAATAAATAAAAAAAAAAAAAATAAATAAATAAAAAATAAAGATAAAAACCTTCGTCCACAATAATCACATTATATTGTTCTAATCGTGGATCAAGTGTTGCTTCTCTTAATAAAACACCATCTGTCATATATCTTAATCGAGTTTTTGATGATGTACAATCATCAAATCTTATACTATAACCTACTTCATCACCTAATCTTGTACCATGTTCTTCGGATACTCGAGTTGAGACTGTTATAGCAGCGATACGTCTAAAAGATCAACATCTATTGTTAAATGATTTTAAATATTTATAATATTTTTTTTAAACTATTATATTCAATTATTTTTCACACCTTGGTTGAGTAACTCCAATAAATTTAACTTCGTCAAAACTTTCTAAAATATATTGAGGAATTTGAGTCGTTTTACCGGAACCTAAATGAATAGAAATTACAAAAAATTTTAAGAGGTTTAGAATATGAATAAAATTAATTAATTTCAAAAAAAAATCAAATAATTATCTCCAATAGAAACTACTGGACCTACTATTTACCTGTCTCTCCAATGATGACAAGCAAATTTTCTTGTCTAATTGCTTCGATAATTTCTTGCCTATATGGAAAGATCTTTGAAAGAAAGGTTTTTATTATAAATTTCACTTATAACAATAAATTCCAACGTTTCTAAAAATGACATACCGGTAATGATTCACGCTGTTTTATTATACTCGCTGAAACCATGATTCTGAATAATTAATTCTGTAAGTAAAAAATCAACAGAATTGAGTAACATTATACGATGATGTAAAAGGCAATTTTCTTAAAAACAATTACAGATCATTGTCCAAAATTATCAAAAAATTAATTATTTAGATTATTTATTTAATATAGCTATAATCGCACCATATTTAAATTCCATCCCTTTTACTATTATTATTTTATTATTTCATTTATTTCTTACTTTCTTTGTTTCATTCATTTACATTTTTCTTAAGGATAAATAGATCTCATTTAAGTTTCTAAAATACAATTAATATCATTTGATTTAATTATACATATCTATTTTTATAAATTTATAGTCAAGATAAAATATTTTATTAATAAAAATAAATCAATAGCTAATGAATTCGCAATAACATAAGAAACATCATTAATATTTTTTCCCAATCCACATCCGTATTTTCCAGTCGTGTACTAATTATCTGCGTCATACTTTTCCACAACTTTTTTAAAACACTGAAATTATTTCAATAAATTATGTTGTGTCATAGGATCTCATTTTTCAGAAGCTTATTCATGTGCTTCCTCTTTGTCTTATCCAATTATTATAATAATAATATCCGGTATTATACATTGCGTCAATATTTTCAGAAAGAGCGGATTTATAATCAATTGAAGTCATCTTTTGTTGTTCCAGTTCCATTCACATAATGCTACATAATCTGATTTGAAGTATATAAATATAATTCAGATGCTTCAACAACATTTTCAAGATAATATGCTACGGAATTTACAGCTATGAGAGATGAAAGCTTTCTTTGCTTCCTTTTCGACTCCTAAACCATATAGCTTCTTTAAGGATGAGGAATTAAATCATATACTATTCGATCATCAAAAACAAAATTAATATTGTAAGAATAATGACATCATATTATCTAATTAGGTTTCATTTGGCAATTTTTCTGATTTATTCTTATTTTATAAGCTGTGATACGTGAAATAAAAATTTATTGTAATTTTTGACTTTTTATTCACCATATAATAATTATAATAATAATAATAAACATGACAAAAAAATTTTATGACCGTTTATCAAACGATTTTACTCAACTTCTTGAAAACCCTATTGATTATAATGTCACAATTGAAGTTGGTGAAGCATCAATTAACCAAATTTTTGAAGTTCATTCTTACATTTTACAATCTCGTTGTCCTTATTTTAAAAAGAAATTCAATGAAACTTCTTTCAATAAAAATAATGTCAAAGTATTAAAAATGCCTAATATTTCTGTCAAAGTATTTGATGTCATTATAAAGTAAGCATTATTCTATATATTTATCATAATTAAAATAAAAAATAAAAAAAGTTTAATAATTATTTAATAATTTCATAAATTAGATACATTTATGGTGGAACAATTTCGTTAGAAGAATTAGAACATTCATTTATTTTTGACCTCTTGACTACTTCCCATGAACTTGATCTTGATGAATTAGTTGAGTATCTCCAAGCTTACCTTGTTACTACCAACAATGCTTCATGGTTGAAGCTAAATTTTGCTCAAGTTTATCAAACATGTTATCAAGTGAAAAATTTTAATATAATTCAAAAATTTTGCAATTATATAATTGTCAAGCATCCAAATATTATATTTGAGTCAGAAAAATTTATTTCTCTTCCCGAAGATGCATTAATTTCTATTATTAAACTAAATAATTTACAATTAGATGAAGATAAAATTTGGGATTACATAATTCAATGGGGAAGGTCCAAGAATCCAACTTTACCAGCTAACCTTAATGAATGGACAAATGATAATTTCATAACTTTAAAAACAACTTTAAAAAACTGTCTTCCTCATGTTAGAAATTTCAATAATTCAAGTGAACCAGTATTTAAAAAGATTTGGCCATACCCATACTTAGAACTTTTTGAACCTAAATTATGGTTAAACGTCAATACTAAACTTCTAGCCCCGGAAAAATCAATCTCTTCAACATCTTTAACAACACTTCCCGCTAGAACTACACCAATTCCCTCTACTATTATTACTGATGAACATGCCTTAGAACTTTCATCATGGATTGACAAAAAGGAAGCAACTTATACTGAAAATTATCCATATGAATTTAAATTACTTGTTAGAGGAAGTAGAGATGGGTTTGATGTTAAAACTATTTATAATAATTGTGATAAAGTATCTAATACAATTATTGTTGCAAAAGTGAAAGGTACTGGGGAAATTATTGGCAGTTATAATCCTCTTGAGATACATAATAGTAGAAATGAATGGTACCCTAGTCAAGATAGTTTTGTATTTTCATTGAAAACCGAGAATCTAAAATATTCTATTATAAGAAGGGTGACAAGCTTTGATTATGCCATTTATAATGGTCCAGATGATTCATTGTTGCAATTTGGCAATGCATTAATTTTATGGGGGAATTTAAAAACTGAGAATAAAAGCTATTGTAATTGTAGCCCACGATCTGATGCAAATGGTTTCTCAGTTGAAGAATTTGAAGTTTTCGAAGTTTCACCAATAAAATAATTCAAGCATTATTGTTTATACTTTAAAATTTAGAATTATTTGTTTTAATCTATTAATTTTTTATTATTATTTTATGAAAATAAATAAAAATTATTATTTAAATTATTCATTATTTTGTAAATTAAATAAAGAGAACTATTTGTATTTTCTTTTGTAAATTTGAGACTTTAACAATGTGATTTAATATTTATTATTTGTTTCGTAGAAAGCAAGAATCAAAGGTACGCAATAAAAAATATTAACAAAAATATAAATAACTTACCTAAAATATCTAAAAATACATATATCTCAAACTAATTATATAACCTTTATTCTTTTGTGGTCATTTTTTCTATTTTTATTAAAATGACTTACCTTAGATTCTTGTAATATAATTTTTTTAATAAAGCATCTTTCAATTAATAACTTTTATTTAATTTCGGGTACTATTAAACTATTATTCTAGTAACTTACCAATAAAACAAACATCAAATTTAATTCATTAACTAAAAAGTTCATTTTAAAAGATTTTTAGAAAGTTTCTTTCAAACCGAATTTTCTTTAGAAAATGATCAGAAAATTTAAAGATAATTCGATAAATTATTAAGACTCCATTTTCTTCGTGGACTTAAATCTGTGACTTCGACCACAAGATTAATTTCCTTAAATTGTAATATATTAGATATGATCAGTTCATTATTATTGGATTCACTGGGGCCTGGTACATATTTACCGTCACATAGCGAAATCAACGCAATAGAAAAATATGTAAAAAAAAAGATGCATATGATGATTGATTATAGTTTCATCACTTCAGGATGACAGATTAGTTAGAAATTTATATTGATTCATATAGCTGCTGATTACATTCAATGGTACAAAGTATACCATCACTATTATTTCCTAAATAGGCTCGTTACGAAAATAAATTGAAGAATTAAAATGAATATTAGCGGCATTTGATTGGATAACTGATATTATCATAGTATAGATTTTCCCCTATTGTTATTCCCTTTTCGGTGAAGTCACGGCACAAAATACCTTCACCCAGTTGGTGAGTATTGGTAAGTTCTTAAGTTCAATCACTTGC